TGCCACGTGGCAGTAGTCTGTCTATACTGAGAATGCTGGAATGTCAGAGGCCTAAGGGCCAACCTGAAGAGCGGCAAGTTCTCTCCATTTAAAATCTTTAATTGGGGACATTATTTTTATGCAAGAAACACACATCATACAGAGCAATATAGGTTAAAATGTAGCTGAATATCACAGGTATATCAATCAACCTTTTCCTCTAATGCCAGAGGCGTAGCCATGTTAATCCATAAAAATGTCCATTTGAGCATAATTCAACCATTTCTGATGGCCATTAGCTTATTGTGATAGGCCATATCTTGACTCCTCATGTAACTTTCTTAAATATTTATGCACCCAATTTTGATGATCCTATATTCTTCAGGACAGTGTTTAATATCATTCCAGAGGTATCAACCACCCACATAATAAACTTGTCTTGGCGTGACAATCTGTGAAGAGGACTGGGGAATTGGCCTCAAATCCATACATAGTTGCTCTATAAACCAGTGGTGTTTTCTCCCAGAAGCCAAGGGAAGCCAGACTTCCCCTGCTTTTATCAGACTCTATTTTCAGACTCTATGTTTCGATAAATCTTATAAGCTGTTGCTGTCATCTCTTCGCCATTTCTCACTATTTTACAATGAGTGAAACTGCGCCCCTCTAAATGTAATGTGTTGGATGTGTGGTGAAACACTATATTGCACCATCGTAGACTGACCTGCAGTCTGACTACGCGAGGAGGCCAGGCAGAGTTGGCATCACTTTGTGAAAAAAAAGTAAACGATTAACCAATCAGATGAGGCCACTGTCATGCCACTGCCTAACTGTGATTAGTCAGGATGATGCCAAGGGAAGCCAGCCACTGTCTGGCTTCATGCCAATCAAATCACAGCATGCAATCACCGTCATTCAGAGTAAATAACAGGAGCTGTTAGCAACTTTAGCTGGTGCAGTTATGGAGGGTGGAGATTTGGAGTTTATAGTTATAATAAATAACGTTAGTTTTACTAAACTACCACTACAGCAGCAACAAATCTAACAGAAGACCAACACTAAAAGGGGATTTGGACGTTCAATGAGGAAAACTATATCCGTACAGTGTGGCTAGCTAGTAGCGCCACACTAGTGTTGTTGTTATTTGTTTTATTTTATTCTATTTTTGACTGGGAAGCACTTTGTGACCCCTCTTGTCTGTGAAGGGTGCTATACAAATAAAGGTTACTTACTTACTTATTTCGACTGACTGTTGTCAGTTGTGTACGTATAGATAATGAGCACCACAGACAGCACCTGCCACAGGGCACTGGGCAAGGTTAGGCTACCTCAATAATTGTTTATACTCTGTTGGTCTGGTACTTGGTTGTTAGTCTTAAGTGATGTTGTGTTATGAACATTTGGCCAAGCAGTAAGAAGTATGTAGGCCTATTTGATACATGCACCACTGCTACTATACAAATGTCTTCAGTCGTCTTCTGATTCAGCTTGCGAATGCTTCTTTTAAAAGCAGCGGGCTATGTATGCTATTTGGGGGGAGAGAGTGACTGAGTAAGTGAGTGAGAGAGAAAGAGCGTACATTTCGCTATATGCAACTTTCAGTGTTTGTATTGATTACAGATAGTGCTGCATCTTTAAAGTAGGACTGTAATAGCACAATACATTAGATAATTGCCCTCCAAAAAGGACATCCCCTCTCACTTGGCTTCCCCAAAGATTTACCCCACCCCACACCACTGCTATAAACTCAAGACAACAACTCATTCACAGACTGCACTTTTCCGCCACCAAACAGTCTTTTTATTCTTCTGTTTCACCAATGTGCCTGAAATGCCACTCATCAGAGGGCACCTTGGGCCACCTATTTTGGTCTTGCCCCAAACTAAACATATTTTTAAGTGCTTCTCTGCAATTTATAGCTGTGACATTTCTCCAGATCCTAACATTGCTATCCTGGGTGGGACACGACAGCTACGTACTTTATCCCGCTTCCCTTTAAAAACAATACAATACAGCGTGGTGATCGCAAAAAGGAATATCCTATCCATTTGGAAAAGCAAAGACGTCCCTTTCTTTTCAGTCTTTAATAAAATGTGGCAACTATTTGTCTTACCTATCGAGAATGACCTAAGACATTTACACGCATTTACACATCTGTGCCGGTATATGTATATTTAGGCGTGCATTCACTTTATTTATGCACAGGTACTATTTGTAGATGTATATTCATGTGTTGCTTATATGAATGCTTTTTTGTCAGCTGTCAGTGCCTTTATGACTAATATAGTAAGCTAGCTAGCTAAAAGGCTAACGCAGCTAATGCTACTACGTAACTTCATTAAAAAGTCAATGTTCTTTCACGTGGGGACTGAACGTCTCCTGGGTGAAAAACGGCCAATATAGTAACCTTCCACCCTTCCAACCACTGCCGAAACACACCTTTCTTGCTATTTATAATACGTGAAGATTGTATTTATTTATTGCTAAATACCAAACAAATTAATACATGAAGGATTAATAAGGAAAATAACAAACACAACAGATGAATAGCAGATATAATAATAATTATATAATAATAACTAGAACTGCAAGCAGTTATAAGCGGGGTCCAAGCCTCCCGGCGCAAGCCGCCTCCCCTGGCCCCGCGGAGGGTGTGCGAGTCGGCCCGGGCGCTCCGCCATCGTGCCGCATAAGGTCCCCACGTTTGGTGTTGATGGGCCATTCCAAACAGAGACAAAACTGTACTGCCTTTGAAAAAGCCATAGGAATGTATGGGATTTAGTGAGAGATTTTTTTGGCCGAATTGAACCAAAATTTTCATGTGTGATCAGGGCCCCATGGGGAACAATTGCCCCAAATTTGGTATCAATTGGAGTTGTGGTTGTGAAGATTTAAAATGCATGTAAGTCAATGGGATTTTTTCGAATAGCGCCAACTAGGGGCTAACTGTACCAAATTTTGCACAGCGCCTCAGGGGGGCATACCACATAAGGTCCTCAAGTTTTGTGTTGATGGGCACTTTCCACGCCAGAGATATGTTATATTTCCTGTTTTTAGCGTTTTTGCAAATATTTGTTAGCTTGCAAGTAGGCTGTTTTTTGTCAGATCAAAATTCCCTCTACAAACTCTTATTGGCTCGGTCCAGAGATTGTCTGTGCCAAGTTTCGTGCTGATCGGACTTCAAGGTTAATTAAAATAGGTTTTCAAGTTTTCGCGATTTCGCGAAATGAACACTTTATCGCACAAAGGCGTGTCCAATACCAGCGGAATCGGCCGCATCCCCCAAACACGTGGACGTAAGGTTTATGAATGTGCAATGTAGTGAGCCATAGTTATGAGGCAAAATGTCCTTTGGTTGAAAATCCCATTATTTGAAAATCTCAGTATTTGAGCTTAGATTATAGTGCCACCTTTTGGCCGAAGTGCACCAAATTTTTCAGTTGTCATCAGGGTCCCAAGGGGAACAATTGACCCAAATTTGGTGTCAATCGGACTTGTGGTTATGGAGATATAAAATGCATGTAAGTCAATGGGATTTTTTTTGACGTGTTTAATCTGCAATAACAGCGCCACCTATGGGCATATTTTAGTAAGGGGACCATGCTGAACAATTCGGTTCTGGTTTCATGTCAATGTGACTTGTGGTTATAGAGGACCATTATTTGGGATTCAATAGCGCCACCTAGGAAATTTTGCACAGGCCCTCAGGGGGGTGTCCCACATTAAGCTCCAAATTTGGTGTCGATTGGCCATTCCAAAGCGAGGGTATGACATCATTTCCTGTTAGTAGCGTTTTTTGCAAACATTTGCTAGCATATAATTGCGACATTTTTTGTCGGATCAAAATTTCCTCTACAAACTTTCATCAGCTTGGTCCAGAGATTATCCGTGCCAAGTTTGGTGTCGATCGGACTTGCGGTTTCGGAGGAGTTAATTAAAATAGGTTTTTCAGTTTTTGCGATGTAGCGGAAAAGTTTAGGCGGAAATGGGCACGGCCTATACCACGAGATCCAGCTCGATCCCCCGAATGCGTGGATATAAGGTTTTTGATATACGCCTTTGTAGGTGGGAGTTCCAAGCCCAAACGCGTTGACCTTGCTTATAGCGCCCCCTAGTGGTAGAAGTGTGCAGATTTTTGCGCCTGAGTTACTTGCAGGGGCTTGTAGCTTGTAGTTACCGTCTAGGCTGCAGCAGTGGAATAAGCGGCAGAAGAATAAAAAAATAAAAAATAAAAACGAGAACGATTGCAGTAGGTTTCACAGATCCACTCGGGCTTGGACCCCTAATAAACTTGATCTTATTGAAAATTTTGAACTGAAGTGTGTGATCTGATGGTAAAACACAATGTTAAGACACTAACTAATACTAGAGCACTAAGTTTCTCTAAATGAAAATTAATCTATTTGGTTCGACATCAACTCTTAGTATCCTGTGTTTGCATTGTTTGACAATGCAAAAACAACACAGGGATAGGCCACATAGCTGAATACATCACTGAAACTAAAAGCTATGCATCAGCTGAAAGATTAAAATGAAACTGGTACTGCATATGAATTTAAGTGGTAAGACAATGAACAAGCTTTATAGAAAAGCTTTGAAATAGAAAATACATCAGTCAACCCACTTAACATGTTAGGTCTCAAGTTTCAGTGGTCTGCAGTGGTCTTCAGGCAGATTTCTGGAAGCTGAAGGACAGCTTCACTTCAACACCAATCTTCATTGTCTCTGACTATTTCTTTCATTATCATAACTTGTCATACTGGTTTGGACTTCTTTTAACATTCATTTAGGTGGAGTACACCATCAACTTCTTTCACAGGACAGAAGAAGGGAGTGTGCCCCTATACTGAGCCAAAGAAAATAACTTTACCTTAGAAAGACAGATTGAAATCTGTATTGTTTGATCTCAGTTTATTTATACAACATTTCTGAAATATGTATCCAGGATGAGTCACGTCATTAGCCTTTATTCCATTCCGGTATATAAAGGCCCTACTAGATGTAGACTGTCACACAATGTGAAGGGTTTACACAATATCACATATATGAACTAGACCTAATTAAAACCCACTAACAAAGTTTTTAAACAAACAACTGAAGCAGATACAAAGGGAAATTTATAACTGTTCATTTTAACTGTCTTTTTATTTTGGGTAAGTACATCTTTAAGGCTATACAGACTTTTTTTTTACATGTATGCCCTGTTTCTGTGACAGTGTGTGTCTACACAAACATTGAGTTTATGTGTTTAGTTTTTAATCTACCAAAAATTCTATTGGGATATGTTCATTTATTCGTATTTCTATATTTCATTCTTGCTAATTACCACATACTCAAAGTGATAATAAGTGGTTGTCACATTGACTCATTAGCATTTTTTGTAATATGTTGTGAAATCCTGCTTCAACAGTTTCTCTTAGGCTGATAATGTAGTTTTTTTACCAACTGAAAGCACTATTTAATTGTTTTTCCCTCTCCATTATCATGGCACATGTAGCCTTTGTTTTTGCAGCATGATACAAACCACTGTTTATTTAATATATACAAGCCTCTTGTTATTATATTAACATAAACATAAGTATAAAAATGTATCTAATGTTGTAGAAGTAGTGCATGTAGACGTCTATATTCCATTTGCTAATATAAGATAAGAAATGCAGTCTAAAGACGTAATAAATTGAAGATGGAATATGGGAGCAGAAATATTTGTCAGTGAGATGTGAAGACAAAGGTGAAATTTGTTGGGAAGGTTTTTAGTTTTTGTGTGGAACATTAACATTTTAGAGAAAGCATTGGTTATATTAGCTGGAAAACTGTATTGCAAAAGTTTATCACATGCTCTTTCTTTTTCTGAGTAAGTCACTGTGTTGTTTGATTTTATAGATTCAAATCAAGACAAGATGGATGTCAAACAGATCATATCAATTGTTCTGATTGTCCTGATAGGTAAGCAGAGTGTTAAAGTGGTTGCCTTAAAAGTATCTTCTTACAAAATATTAGAAAAGGTGTGGGAAATGACACAACATGAAGTTAAGGTGGACTTTTTGCCTGCACCTAATATACTATTATACAAAGACAATTAGAGACTTGAACCACCCCATCTGTATATCAGGATCATTTTAAGGTACAGCCAGAAAGCATATGACTTCTTTAAAAAGTAAATCGTATTTGGACATCCTCTTTTTGGACTCTTTATCAAATTTGTTTGCACTACATTGGATCTATATTTAAGTTAGCTGCACCTTTAAGTCACATGGGGCCTCATGTATAAATGGTCTGCAGGTTAAAAGATTGCTTCTGATGGTTTTCACGCACATGCTGGATTGTATAAAAATTAACGTGATGTGAGAATTTGCAGGCTGTGCCGCAAACTCTAGACCAGCTGTAAGATTGCGGGGGCCGTCTCTCAAGCTTTTGTCTGGCTCTGTCAGTCAACTACAAAGTACTGAAACTCATCAAGTTTTAAAATAACCCTTCCACCCCCAGTTTCTGTGCTTGTCTTTGAAGTAATCTATTTTGTAGACTACAAGTAGAACACTTGATGCCCTTACACATTTAATTTTCCTTAATATCAGATGTTATCATTTTATCATTAACAGTCAAACCAGCAGTGTTATTGGCACCTTTCCATTGTAAATCCCTTGAGTGCTCTGAACAAGTGCTGCAGCACCCCCTATTGACAGGGTGGCAAATTACATGTGCAGACTACATAATGGACACTATTGTTACTATATGACAAATTAAAATACAGCAGGTTAGTGCTGAATGCAGAGGATGGTTTTGATTACAGCCTAATAATTTGATGTCAGTTTTCACTGTTTTGTCACGATTATAGGAGCTACATTGGTATGATGCGCGGATCGGCTCTGACAATATCTTAATAATCATGTACGCACAAATCATCTTAAGGCCCTCAACCCAACTAATTATTTTCTCAGATTTATCCTGTGGTGTCCCAACAATAATGCTGCGATGATGTGTTGAGAAGAAACCCCGCTTGACACTGTTCTTGATCATAAAAGTTTATTAAATAGAGTTCAGGATCACTTACAAGCTCTGCAGTAGCCTATTTCACCCACCCGGAAAGTCACAAAACGTTTTGCCCAAAGCTCTGCCCGCAAACAGCGGTGCTCTCAGTTATTGCACGCACAGGGTTTTCATGTGTTTATTGTGTTTCCCCAAGCGTGCTGAGCGTGGAACAGTTTTTAAAAGTTGAAATGATGGTGGAGACGGAATAATCAGCTGTGCCCGCATGCAGTTCATTAAAGTTGATCGTGTTATCAATTGTTTTTATTCGAATGATTTTATTTATATACATACATATAATTACGGAGGTACGGACCTTGGTGACCTCATACGACCATAACCACTCTTTGTAAGTGCGTACCAAAACACAGTCCTATCATGCGCGCAGTTTTGGGCAAGTTACTTCCAAAATGTACGCTGGATGGGTGAAATAGGATTGTCTCCCCATTATGAAAGATGCTGTGCGCATGTACGCACGGGGTACAGCCGCATAACGTCATTGATTATTTGAATCTCCCGACACTCCAACAGGATCACTGAGGATGAACTGACCGCAGCCTCCCTAATCATGAAATTGATTTAGCACAAACACATAGCCTCTAGAAATCTATTTAGGCATGATCAATCAGGGAAGCTACCGTCTTATTAAGAGGAGCCGAGCTCCCCCATAGTTTGCAGTCTGCCTTCAATCTCGAACATCAGATTCCCACAACTGGAAATAACATTACTCATTCATGGATTTGTTTTTCTGGTGCCAAAATGTTTCTAGGTGTTGTTGGATAAAAAAAAAACCCCACTTAACTTTGGGTTAAAATGAGTTGTAACGTGTGTTACTGAGATTGTAAAGGGTAAAGTATTACAGATTTGTTTTTAGTAATGTGTTACATAACTGCATTACAGCAAAAAGCAATACATTAGTGTAATTGCTTAACTTTTGTATGGGCGCATTTCTACTCTGCAGCACCCCTACGCGAAAATGTCTTCCCCCAGCGCCTGGCTCTGAAAAATGTTCTTATATAATCTATATAAGTTTCTAACACAAAAGTATTGCATTCATTTCATACCATAGGCCATATAGTATCATAATTTCATATGTAGTTTACCACTAGTTCTAATATTATTCCAGTTACAGAAATTTGATTTTTGTGGGTTGTTCTTATTCTTTAAATCCTTGTGTGAAGAAGCACAGTCTACATTGGTTTCTCGTTTATTAAGTAATACCTTGTCAATAATCATAACCAATAATGAAGAAGAATTACTGTAGGTTTCAGTCTTTACTCACAAATCGTAAATATTTTTTTTCATGTGTTTTTAAGTCAATATATTCATAAATTAGCAAGCTGTTGAAATTACAACTTCAGACAGTACATATTTTAGGCAATGGGTCACTGATATTTTAAATGATTTCTAAAGGCTTTTCCCACAAACTAACAGCATCGAAAGTTGTGAGAGGATGTACAGGACAGATGAGTAAGCTATTGAAAGTGTACAACCTTGCAATGTGCATAATTAATAAGTGATTCATTCATTCATTCAAGTTGTGAAATGTTGTGGTCACTTTCTATATTAGCAGTGGTTTGAGATTTCTATGTTGAAAAACAAAAAAAGTTATTGACAATTGAAATGGATGTATTGCACTTTGCAGACAGTCCCTAACTCTGCCTATTTTAACAGGCACTTTGGACAGACATTTAATGCACTGTATCGACATGTAATGACTGTATAATTTTAAGTGATTTTGAGGTGATCAAAACTGTGAAATGTCTGCCTTAATTAGCTCTGCAACATATCACAAAACTGGATTGTATCGATCGATACAATGCCCAACTTTACAGCACAATAAAATATTTTTGCAGCCTGGTACAAAAGATGGTTTTAGTGTATATAGCAAATTTTGCCCTTCATGACAACTGTGAGGGGGTTGAATTTTTATATAATTCACTCATTTAAATCATATAAGTTCTGCATTATTAGGGGTGTGGCTGCTTTGATTGACAGGTGGCTTCTTGTCAGTCCGCTGTCTGTTAGCTCAGTCACGGAGATCTGCAGCATTGCCCTTTGTGCCTCTAGGACATTTCTTCATGCAGATACCGGACAAATAATGGCAGGCTGTGCGATTTATTGGAGAGAGAGAGAACCTCCAGGAAGCCTGTGCTCCAGTTGGTGAGTGAAATTCTAGTATTTTATTTATGTGTTACAATAATTAGCAGGTATGGAACATAACGTTACAAAACTGCAGTTTTTAAAGAATCATGCACACTAACTAAGTCAAAACATATTAGCAAAGTGTTTGAATTTAAAATAATAACATTATGGAACAAAAAGGCGTCTGTAAGGAAAGTAGTAAAATAACGTTAATGGCCCACCTCGTCAGTTAGCTGACATTATGCAATGTTAACAGTAAACTTGCCAAACAAGCATTGTTAGATTTGGATAGGTAACATTAAAGTTCCCCTTCGAGGGAACTCGAACTGCGTCGGTTATGACACTATGGGAACGCCTCTAGGCGAAGCAGGTCTGAACGTGAATGAAATCACTCCAATCCTATTGGCTTGTTGCTAGAACGGTAAGGTGTGACGGAATAACCGGAGGAGTATAAAGCACACCTGTACACACTCATCATTAGCTTTTTTTTATTCAGCAGGCGCTCTGTATGTTGTTTGAAGAAAGCTCCAGTCCTACAAGCAGTGTGTCTTACCTGAAGAAGAAGTCTACCAGCATGTCCGGCAACCAGATGTACAGAAGGTGTGTTTTTTCTTGCCCTCGGTACATCACGGATGGAGATTCTCATGAGATGTGTGTCTCATGTTTGGGGATGGAGCACGCCCGGGCAGCTCTCGAGGGGGCTGCCTGTGCCCGTTGCGAAGCCCTTTCCGTGCGGGTACTGAGGTACAGCGTGGCTCTCTTTCCGAGGATGGCCGGATGTGTTTTCCCCGTGGCGTGGGCCCTGCGGCCGCTGAGGCGGCCCGGCGGCTTCACTCATGGGTTCACAGCGTGATCTGTCGGAGGATTTCGGGACGGCTGAGGCTTTTTCCCGACCTTCATCCGCTGGCTCCGACGCTTCCTTTCCTCGTTCGGGAGCCCGTTCTCGGCTTCTCCCGCTCGCGGTTTGGATCCGGAGACGCTGCAGCAATCCGACTCCGAGGAGGCGGACCTGCTCAGCGTAGTGGACGATGACTTCCGGGTGTCGGGGCGGCGTCATCTGGCCGCGCCCGACTATGACGTGCTGCTGGAGGTGGTGACTAGAGCCGTGGCTAAGCTCAACATCAACTGGCCACAGGAGGAGCAGACACCACAGGCTAGTGGTAGCTTGATGAAAGGTTTCTTAAGCACCACACGCCACCTCCACGCCGGTCTCTGCCATTCTTTCCTGATTTACATGATGAACTGAGTAAATCATGGGGCAGACCCTTCTCTACATGGCTTTACACACCCACGATCACTGAACTACAGTAATGTGATGGGGGTTAGGGACCGTGGTTATGGGAGGATGCCTCGGGTGGAGGATGAGCTTGCGAGCTATCTCTCCCCTCGACTTGCGCCCTCCCTGGAGAAGCCGGCGTTACCATCCAAACCATGTCGCACCATATCCACGCTCGTGGGGAAGGCGTACATGGCAGCGGGCCAGGCAGGTGCGAGCTTGCACACCACGGTGCTTCAAGCCTACCAAGCCAACCTGCTACAGGAGATGGTTCAGAGGGGGGGTCCCTCCGAGGAAGATCTGGCGGAGCTTCGCAGAACCACGAAGCGTTAGACGCAGTGCGAAGCGTTCCGCCAGTACCTCCCTCGCCGGTCTGGACCCAAGGCAGCTGAGGCTGCCAGGCGTAGGTCCCTTCCCTCTCCGAGCTCCTATGGAGACGAGAGGAAGCAGAGTGTCGCTTCTCGGGGGCCCCCCCGAGGAGCTGGGGCAGCGAGACGGCGCTCTCACCCTCAGCCGTCTGAGAGACGCGATCTGAGGACCGTCATCCAGTCCCGACGGAGCTCAGGGAAGACCGGGGTAGGGGAGTCTTTCTCCCCTCCCGCACCCCCCCCACCCCCCCCCGGAGGCCGACCGAGGTCCCGTCCGCCGTGGCAACAGGTGATGTTATCCCGCCGTTTACACGTTCAGGACGCACCTGCCACCATCGAGTCCGCGCCGTACTGCCTGCCCCGAGGGTCTGCAGGCGGACGGCATCCCGACTCACTCACCGTGGATCTTCGGCAGCTCCCCCCTGCCGTTCTGGGACTTTGCAGACGCTTGGCGGAGCCTGACGAACATTTCTCTGCGGGTCCTGCGCACTGCACTGCATAGATGGGTATTGACTACAGTTCAAAACCCGCCCTCCAAATTCAACAGAAGAGAGGGGGGTGGTTTGGACTGTGGTCCGCCCGGAGCAAGGTCCGGTGTTGGGACAGGAAGTTTGTACTCTGCTGAGGAAAGGGGCCGTGGAACGTGTCTCCCCCCCAGACAGAGACGCCGGTTCTACAGCCAGTACTTCATAGTCCCCAAGAAGGACGGAGGGCTGCGTGCCCTATTTTGGATTTGCGGGTTCTACCTCCACCTCATGTGACGGTGGAGGACGGGAGACTTCATCTGCTCTGCCCTGTCAGAGCACTGAGTATTTACACTCTGAGGTCCTCCCGTTGGAGGAAGGCTGACCAGCTGCTAGTGTGTTTTGGGTCTCCCAGGGCCGGGCTCCCTGCATCCAAACATACTATTAGCAACTGGATTGTTCAGACTATTTCCCTGGCCTATCAGGTGCGCGGTTTGCCTTCACCTGTGGCTGTGAGGGCTCATTCTACCAGAGGCATGGCGGCCTCTCGAGCCCTCCTTTCCGGGGCCTCTTTGCAGGATGTTGTTTAGCGGCTGGCTGGGCCACTCCGCACACATTCATTCGGTTTTACAGTCTTGACCTTCCTTCGGCACCTGGCACTCGTGCGCTCTCCTCTTGTCGTGCCACTTTATTGCACACAGGGGCAGGCGGGGTTTTCGGCACGGTTTAGTGGGTATCTCGTTCCCATAGTGTCGTAACCGACGCAGTTCGAGTTCCCTCGAAGGGGAACGTCTCGGGTTACGTATGTAACCCTGGTTCCCCGAGAAGGGGAACGAGAGACTGCGTCGGCCCGCCGCACCTCTCTCCCCGCCTGAAGCGCCTGCTTCATAGTTTAAGCTAATGATGAGTGTGTACAGGTGTGCTTTATACTCCTCCGGTTATTCCGTCACACCTTACCGTTCTAGCAACAAGCCAATAGGATTGGAGTGATTTCATTCACGTTCAGACCTGCTTCGCCTAGAGGCGTTCCCATAGTGTCGTAACCGACGCAGTCTCTCGTTCCCCTTCTCGGGGAACCAGGGTTACATACGTAACCCGAGACGTTACTGTCACAGAGAAACCGGGGAACTAGAATAAATGGCTCTACCTGGACTGAGGGTCGGGGTTGAGGTGCATTAAAATTCCTGATAAAAATATGTCAAGCAGTACCACTTCTAGTACTTCTACACTGTCTAGCAGCGAGATCAATATTGCACATATCAGTAAACATTGTACTGCATATTGAGGTTATCATACTGAGGTAATCTGAGAGATCAGTAAGTTTATGGCAGTTGGAAAGAGGCTGTCAAGAACCTTCTACCATTGTTGTGTTTACAGGAGCCAGATGAGCTGATGGCAGCATCATTCCAGAAGTACCAGAGTCCGGCTCTACAGAAGTCCCAGCTTCCAATGTGGCCCTGCCAGCTCCTGCAGCTTACTGCTTGGCTCAGCCTTTTGTTTTTACTTTTACTTTATTGTGAGAGATGCATCTGTTTACCACAGGTGCATTCGATCAGCTCTGAGCCCTCAGAGTTTGCATCATCAAAATTAACGATACCACCTAGTTGTTTCATTGTTACTCTGTGCAGGTCATTTTTTGTTCCATCACTAAGACACTTTCTAAAACAGAGCAGCAAACAAGCCAAAAGTAAACAGAAGGAGAGAAGGCCTTTCCACGTCAGTCCACGCCATCAGATACAGACGTCCAGCCCACTCAGGATGCATCACAAGTCTCTGCAGCTCTCTGGCTCCAGATGGGACAAATGATCCACACTATGACTTTTGAAGGAAAATAAAGGAATAATAAATGTTGCAGGTAGTTAATGTAAAATATAAAATTAACTATAAAAGATGCCTCAGTTTGGTTGACTGTACTATTATGTCACATACGTCAGAGACACTGGAACAATACAGCAACACCTCAAAATATAGATGTTTTTAAGACAGACAACATGATATTAGCTTTCAAATGTCTAGTAGCCAAGACTAATGTTAGTACTTACAGTTTAGGCTGTGTGTAGCAGACATGGAGGTATCATGAACTCAAGAACCGATCACTGAAAGAAATAAACATCAATATATAAATTAATATAAAAGTACCTTCATCTCTCAGCAGTTATATTCAAGACAATAATCTCGCACAGCCCTGTCAACAGCAGCAATGTTACTAAAAATTGTGGTGAGGGTAATTACCAAAATACATAACGTAATCCGTTAATACTCTTAACTAGAGCGGCAATAACAGCCATGGCTAACGTTTTACAGCTATATAGCTACCTTCAAATATAACTAAGGAATGTACCGCTAGCTAATTTAGTTCATGACAACATATAATCAAGTGACATCCAAATAAACGACTCGTAACTAACGTTATAGTTATGTATAAGGATTAATTTTTGCTTCAAATTGTTTGAGATATAACATTATTAATAATTGATTCATAGTAACTGTTAACATCTCAACGAAATAGTGTTGCAAATTATATTTTAAAATTTGTTGAAGAATATTAAACCTTGTGTAGTATAATGTCAATAACAGAGAAATAAATGTTTAGTTTCAGGTACCTCGAGTGTAACCATTCAGCCACCGGGGGTTTAGCTGAGAAGCTACTGCTGCTAAAGCAGAGCAGCATATGGCATTAGCTCCTTAGCCTGAGCTTACTCGGCCATGTTGAGCTTGGCGGGTGTGGTTTCAGCAACGCGTCACCTTAACTCCATGCACGACCTGCCTCTTTGCACCATTTTTGGTTATCCGGGAGTGATGCGCTGGCCAGATGGCGACGGCCAACTCTGCCCACTTTGGGCTTCAAAACATGGGCGAGTTCAGCGCCAACAAAACATAGCAAAATGTTTTTTTCAATGGAAATGGTGGTGCCTCTAACACCCTGTTGTGTATGCAAGAGCACTGTATATTCCTTCCTTTTTACACCGTTGCATTTACAAACTTTTCGCAACTGATTGGGTAACACCTGTGACACGCCCACCAAAGACTAAAAAACTCAGAGCCCCTTGTGTGGATGTTGCATGGAAACATGTTGTTCAATCCGAAAACATTGCAAACCGTTGCAAAACGTTTTGAGATTGAACTCGCCCCCAGTACCCACCGCAGTGTGTATAAAGTTCTGCAGCCAAACATATGAAAAGCCAAGACAATAATCATGGTTAATAATAAGTGTGATCAGCATATGCCATCCTCCAGACATCATCACCACCTAAATTGGGAGATCAAACCTAACCAAGTATTTGGGAATGTTCCCCTCAAAAACTATGTATCAAACAGAGATTGTTTTCCTTCATTCTAGTTAATTGATGGGGTATATTTAAGTAGAAATGTAAGGGCATATGTTTTATTTGAACAGGGAAGGGGACAGTTTTTAAGAGGGGACCTGGGGGAACTCCCCATGAAAATGCTGAGCTTTAAACACCTAGGGCCGGATTTGTTAACATCGCGAATAAAGAGTACTAAATTGGGTGCAAACAGAATGTAGGTGTCAGTATTTAAATGAGGGTTTTGTGTGTGTTTTAATGGTTACTGCCATGGAGAGTCGGGAGGGAAAGCAGCCACTGAGTAAAAACCTGTGTTTCAGTCAGTGTGTATGTGGAAATCATATGTACCTGCCCATCCTGCCTAAGATTGCACTAAGTACTTGGGACAGCAAACCTGAAAAACTGCTTTGGGAAACCCCAAACAGAAACAGATACAGTATGCTGGAATGAACCAGACGAGAGGAAATGCCAGTAGATCGTGCTTCATCTAGCCAGAGGGAACAATCACCGACCGTCCGCACCGTGCACGGTCACTCCGGGATCTCCTGTCCCTGTACACCCCAACGCCCCATTCCCTCTCCGATACCGACAAGGGGTTGTGTCGCTATTATGACCAGCGCACTGTGATCAGTTGATGATCGTTCCCTCTGGCTTGATGAGTTTTATGCCTGATCCATGCAGCTGGGGGCTCTCTGCTGCGCCACGCAACTTTCTAAATTCTTCCATCTCACGGAGAGAAGAAGTCAGGTCGAAACAAAATTTGCTTTATTTGCATGAATGTTAATACAACAATTTTGCCAAAGCTTCAAGGAAAATACAAAAAAACAAACAATTCAATTCATATAGTTCATCGAATAAATAAAATAAAATAATTATATTTCTATATATTGGATATAGAATAAAATTATCTAAGATTTTTAATTTCTCTACGTTTTCAATCATTACTGGTGTGTCTCCTTCTTGCAACGATAACGGCAGCCACCTCTGCGCAACACTTGGCGGATTGCACCTTCCCTTCAAACGTATTAAATACAGATGCTGTTGCACTCACATGAAATTGCTTGGTAGATCACATTGCATTCTAGTGATTCTTCACCAATGTCTGCCTTTTCTGCATCAATTTATGGAGGAATGTCTATATTTACATAAAGGGAAGCACAAAATTCATACCACAGGTGAAAATGCAGAAAGGCTATCCGGCATTCTCTAGCTATTGCCTTTAAACATGTTTTCTTCTGTAGATCAACTTTTCTCACTCAATAAAGTCCCTGCTCAGTCATCATTTAATTAGAATTCATAATATTTTTGCCTGTCCCATAGCTACTCTGTGCATTAGCCTCCATTATTGCTCAGCTGATACAGTCAGACAGTCAGTTACAGAACAGAAATGGATAAGACAAGCACATGAAAAAACTATGGGGAAAAAAAATAAAATTAAAACTTACTGAAATACATGTAATCATGCAGAAATCTCACCACAAATCCACACAAGTGTTAACTTCAGCAGCTCCGGTAAAGTGCAGCTCAGAGAGCAAACAAAGCAAGTTTGTACCTCAGTTATGACACTTTTATATTGCAAAACTACCAGCTACATTACTGCTATGTGGGAATTCACTGGACTCCTAAGAGTTACTCATTCTTTCACAAATGTTAGTAGAAGCAGTCTGCATGCCTAGGTGATTGATTTTATACACCTGTGGCCATGAAAGGGATTGAAACACCTGAGTTCAGTGATTCAGAGAGGTGTCCTAATACTTTTGGCAATATAGTGTATTTATAGGCAACAACTGTAACTGTAACCTGATAGGAAAATGTGCCACTGGCAATTCCAGAAAATATGTATTAAACAGATAAGACACAGTTTACTCATGGACCTATGATTGTAAAGTCAACAGAGTTTAATGCATCTTGGGCTTAACATACTCAGAGTTTTCACTAATCCCGCTTTCTGAAACGGGACCCAGGTGGAGCATGATTTATAGGAATCACTTACTTGTAGGTGTGTATACACATGGTTTTATGAATTATATTTTTTATTGGCTATGCCACTTTCGGTTTATGTGCTTTTAGTATGGATCCTACTCACTGGTAATGTACTGTGAAGCAAAAGGTTTGCATTTATGGTTACTTACAGTTTAATAATTATTGTGCACTCCAACAGCAGCAATGGCACCCGCTACGATAACTGCAGCAACAATAACATCTGCTCCCTCAATGAAAACAACGGCAGCAGCAACGACATCTGCTCCAACAAAATCAACTGCAGCAACAACACTTTCTGCGACAAAAACAACTTCAGCAACATCTTCAAAAACAACTGCAAAAACATCTTCAAAAACAACAACTGCAAAAACGACACTTGCTCCAACGAAAACAACTGCAAAAACAACATCTTCAAAAACAACTACAAAAACAACACTTGCTCCGACGAAAACAACTGTAAAAACATCTTCAAAAACAACTGCAAAAACTACACTTTCTCCGACAAAAACAACTGCAAAAACAACATTTTCAAAAACAACTGCAAAAACTACACTTTCTCCGACGAAAACTACTGCAACAGCAACACTTAGTCCAACGAAAACATCAGCAACAACATCTGCAACAACATCTGCTCCGACAACAACAGTAGCACCAACAGCAACAACAGCAGAAAAAACAACACCTGCTCCAACTACTACAGCAGCGACAACAACACCTGCTCCTACAACAACAACAGGAACAACATCTGCAACAACATCTCTTCTAACTACAACAACAGCTGGAACAACATCTGCAATAACATATGCTCAAACAACTATTGCTCCGACTACAACAACAGCAGCCACAACATCTTTAACATCAACATCTGCACCGACTAAAACAACAGCAGCAACAACAACACCTGCTCCAACAACTACTGCAGCAAGAACAGCAGTAACAACATCTGCTCTGACTGCAACAACAGCAGCAACATCTGCAACAACAACTGCTCCAACAATAACAACAGCAGCAACATCTGCAACAACACCTGTTCCAACTATTACTGCAATGACAACAACATCTTCTACGACAACAACATCGGCAACAACAACACCTGCGTCAACGACAACAACATCTACTCCAACAACGACATCTACAACAACATCTGTTCTAACTACAACAACAGAAGGAACAACATCTGCAACAACATCTGCTCAAACAACTACTGCTCCGACTACAATAACAGCAGCAACAACAACACCTGCTCCAACAGCTACAGCAGCAACATCTGCAACAACACCTGTTCCAACTAATACAGCAGCGACCACAACATCTGCAACAACATCTGCACAAACAACTAATGCTCCGACTACAACAACAGCAGCAACAACACCTGCTCGAATAACTACTGCATCATCAACAGCAGTAACAACATCTACTCCGACTACAACAACAGCAGCAACAACATCTGCAACAACACCTGTTCTAACTACAACAACAACAGGAACAACATCTGCAACAACATCTGTTCTAACTACAACAACAGCAGCAACAACATCTTCAACATCAACATCTGCACCGACTACAACAACAGCAGCAACAACAACACCTGCTCCAACAACTACTGCAGCAACAACAGCAGTAACATCTACTCCGACTACAACAACAGCAGCAACAACATCTGCAACATCTGCTCCAACAATAACAACAGCAGCAACAACACCTGTTCCAACTAATACAGCAGCGACAACAACATCTGCACCGATAACAACAACAGCAGCAACAACACCACCTCCTCCAACAACTACTGCAGCAACAAAAGCAGTAACATCTGCAACAACATCTGCTCAAACAATAACAGCAGCAACAACACCTGCAACAACACCTATTCCAACTAATGCAGCAGCGACAACAACATCTGCTCCGATAACAACAACAGTGGCAACAACAATGCCTGCTCCAACAAGTACTGCATCAACAACATCAGCAACAACCACAACACCTGCTCTGACAACGACGAGAGTGGAAATAACAACACCTGCTCTAACAATTATTGCAGCAACAACGACAACAGCAACAACAACACCAGCTGCGACGTCATCTGCAACAACAACATCTGTTCTAACTACAACAACAACAGGAACAACATCTGCTACAACATCTGTTCTAACTACAACAACAGCAGCAACAACAACACCTGCTCCAACAACTACTGAAGCAACAACAGCAGTAACAACATCTACTCCGACTACAACAACAGCAGCAACAACATCTGCAACAACACCTGTTCCAACTAATACAGCAGCAACAACAACATCTGCTCTGATAACAACAACAGTGGCAACAACAACGCCTGCTCCAACAACTACTGCAGCAACAACAGCAGTAACAACATCTGCTCTGACTACAACAACAGCAGCAACAACACCTGTTCCAACTAATACAGCAGCGACAACAACATCTGCAACAACATCTGCTCAAACAACTACTGCTCAGACTACAACAACAGCAGCAACAACACCTGCTCCAATATCTACTGCATAATCAACAGCAGTAACAACATCTACTCCGACTACAACAACAGCAGCAACAACATCTGCAACAACACCTGTTCCAACTAATACAGCAGCAACAACACCACCTCCTCCAACAACTACTGCAGCAATAACAGCAGTAACATCTGCAACAACATCTGCTAGAACAATAACAGCAGCAACAACACCTGCAACAACACCTATTCCAACTAATGCAGCAGCGACAACAACATCTGCTCCGATAACAACAACAGTGGCAACAACAATGCCTGCTACAACAAGTACTGCATCAACAACATCAGCAACAACCACAACACCTGCTTTGACAACGACGACAGTGGCAACAACAATGCCTGCTCTAACAACTACTGCAGCAACAACGACAACAGCAACAACAACACCAGCTGCGACGTCATCTGCAACAACAACATCTGTTCTAACTACAACAACAGCAGGAACAACATCTGCAACAACATCTGCTCAAACAACTACTGCTCCGACTACAACAACAGCAGCAACAACATCTTCAACATCAACATCTGCATCGACTACAACAACAGCAGCAACAACAACACCTGCTCCAACAACTATTGCAGCAACAACAGCAGTAACAACATCTGCTCTGACTGCAACAACACCACCTGCTCCAACAACTACTGCAGCAACAACAGCAGTAACATCTGCAACGACATCTACTCAAACAATAACAACAGCAGCAACAACACCTGCAACAACACCTGTTCCAACTAATGCAGCAGCGACAACAACATCTGCTCCGATAACAACAACAGTGGCAACAACAACGCCTGCTCCAACAACTACTGCAGCAACAACGACAACAGCAACAACAACACCAGCTGCGACGTCATCTGCAACAACAACATCTGTTCTAACTACAACAACAACAGGAACAACATCTGCAACAACATCTGTTCTAACTACAACAACAGCAGCAACAACATCTTCAACATCAACATCTGCACCGACTACAACAACAGCAGCAACAACAGCAGTAACAACATCTACTCCGACTACAACAAGAGCAGCAACAACATCTGCAACATCTGCTCCAACAATAACAACAGCAGCAACAACATCTGCAACAACACCTGTTCCAACTAATACAGCAACAACAACAACATCTGCTCCGATAACAACAACGCCTGCTCCAACAACTACTGCAGCAACAACTACTGCAGCAACAACAGCAGTAACAACATCTGCTCTGACTACAACAACAGCAGCAACAACACCTGTTCCAACTAATACAGCAGCGACAACAACATCTGCACCGATAACAACAACAGCAGCAACAACACCACCTCCTCCTCCAACAACTACTGCAGCAACAACAGCAGTAACATCTGCAACAACATCTGCTCCAACAATAACAACAGCAGCAACAACATCTGCTCAGACAACTACTGCTCCGACTACAACAACAGCAGCCACAACATCTTCAACATCAACATCTGCACCAACTACAACAACAGCAGCAACAGCAACACCTGCTCCAACAACTACTGCAGCAACAACAGCTGTAACATCTGCAACAACATCTGCTCAAACAATAACAGCAGCAACAACACCTATTCCAACTAATGCAGCAGCGACAACAACATCTGCTCCGATAACAACAACAGTGGCAACAACAATGCCTGCTACAACAAGTACTGCATCAACAACATCAGCAACAACCACAACACCTGCTCTGACAACGACGAGAGTGGAAATAACAACACCTGCTCTAACAACTATTGCAGCAACAACGACAACAGCAACAACACCAGCTGCGACGTCATCTGCAACAACAACATCTGTTCTAACTACAACAACAGCGACAACAACATCTGCAACAACATCTGCTCAAACAACTACTGCTCCGACTACAACAACAGCAGCAACAACATCTTCAACATCAACATCTGCATCGACTACAACAACAGCAGCAACAACAACACCTGCTCCAACAACTATTGCAGCAACAACAGCAGTAACAACATCTGCTCTGACTGCAACAACACCACCTGCTCCAACAACTACTGCAGCAACAACAGCAGTAACATCTGCAACGACATCTACTCAAACAATAACAACAGCAGCAACAACACCTGCAACAACACCTGTTCCAACTAATGCAGCAGCGACAACAACATCTGCTCCGATAACAACAACAGTGGCAACAACAACGCCTGCTCCAACAACTACTGCATCAACAACAACAGTAACAACATCTGCTCTGACTACAACAACAGCAGCAACATCTGCAACAACATCTGCTCCAACAATAACAACAGCAGCAACAACACCTGTTCCAACTAATACTGCTCCGACTACAACAACAGCAGCAACAACACCTGCTCCAATAACTACTGCATCATCAACAGCAGTAACAACATCTGCTCAAACAATAACAGCAGCAACAACACCTGCAACAACACCTATTCCAACTAATGCAGCAGCGACAACAACATCTGCTCCGATAACAACAACAGTGGCAACAACAATGCCTGCTCCAACAAGTACTGCATCAACAACATCAGCAACAACCACAACACCTGCTTTGACAACGACGACAGTGGCAACAACAACACCTGCTCTAACAACTACTGCAGCAACAACGACAACAGCAACAACAACACCAGCTGCGACGTCATCTGCAACAACAACATCTGTTCTAACTACAACAACAACAGGAACAACATCTGCAACAACATCTGTTCTAACTACAACAACAGCAGCAACAACATCTGCAACATCAACATCTGCACCGACTACAACAACAGCAGCGACAACAACATCTGCTCCGATAACAACAACAGTGGCAACAACAACGCCTGCTCCAACAACTACTGCAGCAACAACAGCAGTAACAACATCTACTCCGACTACAACAACAGCAGCAACAACACCTGTCAAAACTAATACAGCAGCGACAACAACATCTGCACCGATAACAACAACAGCAGCAACAACACCACCTCCTCCAACAACTACTGCAGCAACAACAGCAGTAACATCTGCAACAACATCTGCTCCAACAATAACAACAGCAGCAACAACATCTGCTCAAACAACTACTGCTCCGACTACAACAACAGCAGCCACAACATCTTCAACATCAACATCTGCACCAACTACAACAACAGCAGCAACAGCAACACCTGCTCCAACAACTACTGCAGCAACAACAGCAGTAACATCTGCAACAACATCTGCTCAAACAATAACAGCAGCAACAGCAGCAACAACACCTGCAACAACACCTATTCCAACTAATGCAGCAGCGACAACAACATCTGCTCCGATAACAACAACAGTGGCAACAACAATGCCTGCTACAACAAGTACTGCATCAACAACATCAGCAACAACCACAACACCTGCTCTGACAACGACGAGAGTGGAAATAACAACACCTGCTCTAACAACTACTGCAGCAACAACGACAACAGCAGGAACAACACCAGCTGCGACGTCATCTGCAACAACAACATCTGTTCTAACTACAATAACAGCAGGAACAACATCTGCAACAACATCTGCTCAAACAACTACTGCTCCGACTACAACAACAGCAGCAACAACATCTTCAACATCAACATCTGCATCGACTACAACAACAGCGGCAACAACATCTGCAACAACACCTGTTCCAACTAATACAGCAGCAACAACAACATCTGCTCCGATAACAACAACAGTGGCAACAACAACGCCTGCTCCAACAACTACTGCAGCAACAACAGCAGTAACAACATCTGCTCTGACTACAACAACATCAGCAACAACCACAACACCTGCTCTGACAACGACGAGAGTGGAAATAACAACACCTGCTCTAACAACTACTGCAGCAACAACGACAACAGCAACAACACCAGCTGCGACATCATCTGCAACAACAACATCTGTTCTAACTACAACAACAGCGACAACAACATCTGCAACAACATCTGCTCAAACAACTACTACTCCGACTACAACAACAGCAGCAACAACATCTTCAACATCAACATCTGCATCGACTACAACAACAGCAGCAACAGCAACACCTGCTCCAACAACTACTGCAGCAACAACAGCAGTAACATCTGCAACATCTGCTCAAACAATAACAGCAGCAACAACACCTATTCCAACTAATGCAGCAGCGACAACAACATCTGCTCCGATAACAACAACAGTGGCAACAACAATGCCTGCTACAACAACTACTGCATCAACAACATCAGCAACAACCACAACACCTGCTCTGACAACGACGAGAGTGGAAATAACAACACCTGCTCTAACAACTACTGCAGCAACAACGACAACAGCAACAACAACACCAGCTGCGACGTCATCTGCAACAACAACATCTGTTCTAACTACAACAACAACAGGAACAACATCTGCAACAACATCTGTTCTAACTACAACAACAGCAGGAACAACATCTGCTCAAACAACTACTGCTCCGACTACAACAACAGCAGCAACAACATCTTCAACATCAACATCTGCACCGACTACAACAACAGCAGCAACAACAACACCTGCTCCAACAACTACTGCAGCAACAACAGCAGTAACAACATCTACTCCGACTACAACAACAGCAGCAACAACATCTGCAACATCTGCTCCAACAATAACAACAGCAGCAACAACACCTGTTCCAACTAATACTGCAGCGACAACAACATCTGCACCGATAACAACAACAGCAGCAACAACACCACCTCCTCCAACAACTACTGCAGCAGCAACAGCAGTAACATCTGCAACAACATCTGCTCCAACAATAACAACAGCAGCAACAACATCTGCTCAAACAACTACTGCTCCGACTACAACAACAGCAGCCACAACATCTTCAACATCAACATCTGCACCAACTACAACAACAGCAGATACAGCATCACCTGCTCCAACAACTACTGCAGCAACAACAGCAGTAACATCTGCAACAACATCTGCTAAAACAATAACAGCAGCAACAACACCTGCAACAACACCTATTCCAACTAATGCAGCAACGACAACAACATCTGCTCCGATAACAACAACAGTGGCAACAACAATGCCTGCTACAACAAGTACTGCATCAACAACATCAGCAACAACCACAACACCTGCTCTGACAACGACGAGAGTGGAAATAACAACACCTGCTCTAACAACTACTGCAGCAACAACGACAACAGCAACAACACCAGCTGCGACGTCATCTGCAACAACAACATCTGTTCTAACTACAACAACAGCGACAACAACATCTGCAACAACATCTGCTCAAACAACTACTGCTCCGACTACAACAACAGCAGCAACAACATCTTCAACATCAACATCTGCATCGACTACAACAACAGCAGCAACAACAACACCTGCTCCAACAACTATTGCAGCAACAACAGCAGTAACAACATCTGCTCTGACTGCAACAACACCACCTGCTCCAACAACTACTGCAGCAACAACAGCAGTAACATCTGCAACGACATCTACTCAAACAATAACAACAGCAGCAACAACACCTGCAACAACACCTGTTCCAACTAATGCAGCAGCGACAACAACATCTGCTCCGATAACAACAACAGTGGCAACAACAACGCCTGCTCCAACAACTACTGCATCAACAACAACAGTAACAACATCTGCTCTGACTACAACAACAGCAGCAACATCTGCAACAACATCTGCTCCAACAATAACAACAGCAGCAACAACACCTGTTCCAACTAATACAGCAGCGACAACAACATCTGCAACAACATCTGCTCAAACAACTACTGCTCAGACTACAACAACAGCAGCAACAACACCTGCAACAACACCTGTTCCAACTAATACAGCAGTGACAACAACATCTGCACCGATAACAACAACAGCAGCAACAACAGAAGCAACAACACCTGTTCTAACTACAACAACAACAGGAACAACATCTGCAACAACATCTGTTCTCACTATAACAACAGCAGCAACAACATCTTTAACATCTGCACCGATAACAACAACAGCAGCAACAACAACACCTACTCCAACAACTATTGCAGCAACAACAGCAGTAACAACACCTGCTCTGACTACAACAACAGCAGCAACATCTGCAACAACATCTGCTCCAACAATAACAACAGCAGCAACAACATCTTCAACATCAACATCTGCACCGACTACAACAACAGCAGCAACAACAACACCTGCTCCAACAACTACTGCAGCAACAACAGCAGTAACAACATCTACTCCGACTACAACAAGAGCAGCAACAACATCTGCAACATCTGCTCCAACAATAACAACAGCAGCAACAACATCTGCAACAACACCTGTTCCAACTAATACAGCAACAACAACAACATCTGCTCCGATAACAACAACGCCTGCTCCAACAACTACTGCAGCAACAACTACTGCAGCAACAACAGCAGTAACAACATCTGCTCTGACTACAACAACAGCAGCAACAACACCTGTTCCAACTAATACAGCAGCGACAACAACATCTGCACCGATAACAACAACAGCAGCAACAACACCACCTCCTCCTCCAACAACTACTGCAGCAACAACAGCAGTAACATCTGCAACAACATCTGCTCCAACAATAACAACAGCAGCAACAACATCTGCTCAAACAACTACTGCTCCGACTACAACAACAGCAGCCACAACATCTTCAACATCAACATCTGCACCAACTACAACAACAGCAGCAACAGCAACACCTGCTCCAACAACGACTGCAGCAACAACAGCAGTAACATCTGCAACAACATCTGCTCAAACAATAACAGCAGCAACAACACCTATTCCAACTAATGCAGCAGCGACAACAACATCTGCTCCGATAACAACAACAATGCCTGCTACAACAAGTACTGCATCAACAACATCAGCAACAACCACAACACCTACTCTGACAACGACGAGAGTGGAAATAACAACACCTGCTCTAACAACTATTGCAGCAACAACGACAACAGCAACAACACCAGCTGCGACGTCATCTGCAACAACAACATCTGTTCTAACTACAACAACAGCGACAACAACATCTGCAACAACATCTCCTCAAACAACTACTGCTCCGACTACAACAACAGCAGCAACAACATCTTCAACATCAACATCTGCACCAACTACAACAACAGCAGCAACAGCAACACCTGCTCCAACAACTATTGCAGCAACAACAGCAGTAACAACATCTGCTCTGACTGCAACAACACCACCTGCTCCAACAACTACTGCAGCAACAACAGCAGTAACATCTGCAACGACATCTACTCAAACAATAACAACAGCAGCAACAACACCTGTTCCAACTAATGCAGCAGCGACAACAACATCTGCTCCGATAACAACAACAGTGGCAACAACAACGCCTGCTCCAACAACTACTGCATCAACAACAACAGTAACAACATCTGCTCTGACTACAACAACAGCAGCAACATCTGCAACAACATCTGCTCCAACAATAACAACAGCAGCAACAACACCTGTTCCAACTAATACTGCTCCGACTACAACAACAGCAGCAACAACACCTGCTCCAATAACTACTGCATCATCAACAGCAGTAACAACATCTGCTCAAACAATAACAGCAGCAACAACACCTGCAACAACACCTATTCCAACTAATGCAGCAGCGACAACAACATCTGCTCCGATAACAACAACAGTGGCAACAACAATGCCTGCTCCAACAAGTACTGCATCAACAACATCAGCAACAACCACAACACCTGCTTTGACAACGACGACAGTGGCAACAACAACACCTGCTCTAACAACTACTGCAGCAACAACGACAACAGCAACAACAACACCAGCTGCGACGTCATCTGCAACAACAACATCTGTTCTAACTACAACAACAACAGGAACAACATCTGCAACAACATCTGTTCTAACTACAACAACAGCAGCAACAACATCTGCAACATCAACATCTGCACCGACTACAACAACAGCAGCGACAACAACATCTGCTCCGATAACAACAACAGTGGCAACAACAACGCCTGCTCCAACAACTACTGCAGCAACAACAGCAGTAACAACATCTGCTCTGACTACAACAACAGCAGCAACAACACCTGTTCCAACTAATACAGCAGCGACAACAACATCTGCACCGATAACAACAACAGCAGCAACAACACCACCTCCTCCAACAACTACTGCAGCAACAACAGCAGTAACATCTGCAACAACATCTGCTCCAACAATAACAACAGCAGCAACAACATCTGCTCAAACAACTACTGCTCCGACTACAACAACAGCAGCCACAACATCTTCAACATCAACATCTGCATCAACTACAACAACAGCAGCAACAGCAACACCTGCTCCAACAACTACTGCAGCAACAACAGCAGTAACATCTGCAACATCTGCTCAAACAATAACAGCAGCAACAACACCTATTCCAACTAATGCAGCAGCGACAACAACATCTGCTCCGATAACAACAACAGTGGCAACAACAATGCCTGCTCCAACAACTACTGCATCAACAACATCAGCAACAACCACAACACCTGCTCTGACAACGACGAGAGTGGAAATAACAACACCTGCTCTAACAACTACTGCAGCAACAACGACAACAGCAACAACACCAGCTGCGACATCATCTGCAACAACAACATCTGTTCTAACTACAACAACAGCGACAACAACATCTGCAACAACATCTGCTCAAACAACTACTGCTCCGACTACAACAACAGCAGCAACAACATCTTCAACATCAACATCTGCATCGACTACAACAACAGCAGCAACAACAACACCTGCTCCAACAACTATTGCAGCAACAACAGCAGTAACAACATCTGCTCTGACTGCAACAACACCACCTGCTCCAACAACTACTGCAGCAACAACAGCAGTAACATCTGCAACGACATCTACTCAAACAATAACAACAGCAGCAACAACACCTGCAACAACACCTGTTCCAACTAATGCAGCAGCGACAACAACATCTGCTCCGATAACAACAACAGTGGCAACAACAATGCCTGCTCCAACAACTACTGCATCAACAACATCAGCAACAACTACAACACCTGCTCTGACAACGACGAGAGTGGAAATAACAACACCTGCTCCAACAACTACTGCAGCAACAACGACAACAGCAACAACAACACCAGCTGCGACGTCATCTGCAACAACAACATCTGTTCTAACTACAACAACAGCAGGAACAACATCTGCTCAAACAACTACTGCTCCGACTACAACAACAGCAGCAACAACATCTTCAACATCAACATCTGCACCGACTACAACAACAGCAGCAACAACAACACCTGCTCCAACAACTACTGCAGCAACAACAGCAGTAACACATCTACTCCGACTACAACAACAGAAGCAACAACATCTGCAACATCTGCTCCAACAATAACAACAGCAACAACAACATCTGCAACAACACCTATTCCAACTAATGCAGCAGCGACAACAACATCTGCTCCGATAAGAACAACAGTGGCAACAACAATGCCTGCTCCAACAACTACTGCATCAACAACATCAGCAACAACCACAACACCTGCTCTGACAACGACGAGAGTGGAAATAACAACACCTGCTCTAACAACTACTGCAGCAACAACGACAACAGCAACAACAACACCAGCTGCGACATCATCTGCAACAACAACATCTGTTCTAACTACAAACACAACAGGAACAACATCTCCAACAACATCTGTTCTAACTACAACAACAGCAGGAACAACATCTGCTCAAACAACTACTGCTCCGACTACAACAACAGCAGCAACAACATCTTCAACATCAACATCTGCACCGACTACAACAACAGCAGCAACAACAACACCTGCTCCAACAACTACTGCAGCAACAACAGCAGTAACAACATCTACTCCGACTACAACAACAGCAGCAACAACATCTGCAACATCTGCTCCAACAATAACAACAGCAGCAACAACACCTGTTCCAACTAATACTGCAGCGACAACAACATCTGCACCGATAACAACAACAGCAGCAACAACACCACCTCCTCCAACAACTACTGCAGCAACAACAGCAGTAACATCTGCAACAACATCTGCTCCAACAATAACAACAGCAGCAACAACATCTGCTCAAACAACTACTGCTCCGACTACAACAACAGCAGCCACAACATCTTCAACATCAACATCTGCACCAACTACAACAACAGCAGCAACAGCAACACCTGCTCCAACAACTACTGCAGCAACAACAGCAGTAACATCTGCAACAACATCTGCTAAAACAATAAGCAGCAACAACACCTGCAACAACACCTATTCCAACTAATGCAGCAGCGACAACAACATCTGCTCCGATACAACAACAGTGGCAACAACAATGCCTGCTACAAACAACTACTGCATCAACAACATCAGCAACAACCACAACACCTGCTCTGACAACGACGAGAGTGGAAATAACAACACCTGCTCTAACAACTACTGCAGCAACAACGACAACAGCAACAACACCAGCTGCGACATCATCTGCAACAACAACATCTGTTCTAACTACAACAACAGCGACAACAACATCTGCAACAACATCTGCTCAAACAACTACTGCTCCGACTACAACAACAGCAGCAACAACATCTTCAACATCAACATCTGCATCGACTACAACAACAGCAGCAACAACAACACCTGCTCCAACAACTATTGCAGCAACAACAGCAGTAACAACATCTGCTCTGACTGCAACAACACCACCTGCTCCAACAACTACTGCAGCAACAACAGCAGTAACATCTGCAACGACATCTACTCAAACAATAACAACAGCAGCAACAACACCTGCAACAACACCTGTTCCAACTAATGCAGCAGCGACAACAACATCTGCTCCGATAACAACAACAGTGGCAACAACAATGCCTGCTCCAACAACTACTGCATCAACAACATCAGCAACAACTACAACACCTGCTCTGACAACGACGAGAGTGGAAATAACAACACCTGCTCTAACAACTACTGCAGCAACAACGACAACAGCAACAACAACACCAGCTGCGACGTCATCTGCAACAACAACATCTGTTCTAACTACAACAACAGCAAGAACAACATCTGCTCAAACAACTACTGCTCCGACTACAACAACAGCAGCAACAACATCTTCAACATCAACATCTGCACCGACTACAACAACAGCAGCAACAACAACACCTGCTCCAACAACTACTGCAGCAACAACAGCAGTAACAACATCTACTCCGACTACAACAACAGAAGCAACAACATCTGCAACATCTGCTCCAACAATAACAACAGCAACAACAACATCTGCAACAACACCTATTCCAACTAATGCAGCAGCGACAACAACATCTGCTCCGATAAGAACAACAGTGGCAACAACAATGCCTGCTCCAACAACTACTGCATCAACAACATCAGCAACAACCACAACACCTGCTCTGACAACGACGAGAGTGGAAATAACAACACCTGCTCTAACAACTACTGCAGCAACAACGACAACAGCAACAACAACACCAGCTGCGACGTCATCTGCAACAACAACATCTGTTCTAACTACAACAACAACAGGAACAACATCTCCAACAACATCTGTTCTAACTACAACAACAGCAGGAACAACATCTGCTCAAACAACTACTGCTCCGACTACAACAACAGCAGCAACAACATCTTCAACATCAACCTCTGCACCGACTACAACAACAGCAGCAACAACACACCTGCTCCAACAACTACTGCAGCAACAACAGCAGTAACAACATCTACTCCGACTACAACAACAGCAGCAACAACATCTGCAACATCTGCTCCAACAATAACAACAGCAGCAACAACACCTGTTCCAACTAATACTGCAGCGACAACAACATCTGCACCGATAACAACAACAGCAGCAACAACACCACCTCCTCCAACAACTACTGCAGCAACAACAGCAGTAACATCTGCAACAACATCTGCTCCAACAATAACAACAGCAGCAACAACATCTGCTCAAACAACTACTGCTCCGACTACAACAACAGCAGCCACAACATCTTCAACATCAACATCTGCACCAACTACAACAACAGCAGCAACAGCAACACCTGCTCCAAAAACTACTGCAGCAACAACAGCAGTAACATCTGCAACAACATCTGCTAAAACAATAACAGCAGCAACAACACCTGCAACAACACCTATTCCAACTAATGCAGCAGCGACAACAACATCTGCTCCGATAACAACAACAGTGGCAACAACAATGCCTGCTACAAACAACTACTGCATCAACAACATCAGCAACAACCACAACACCTGCTCTGACAACGACGAGAGTGGAAATAACAACACCTGCTCTAACAACTACTGCAGCAACAACGACAACAGCAACAACACCAGCTGCGACATCATCTGCAACAACAACATCTGTTCTAACTACAACAACAGCGACAACAACATCTGCAACAACATCTGCTCAAACAACTACTACTCCGACTACAACAACAGCAGCAACAACATCTTCAACATCAACATCTGCATCGACTACAACAACAGCAGCAACAACAACACCTGCTCCAACAACTATTGCAGCAACAACAGCAGTAACAACATCTGCTCTGACTGCAACAACACCACCTGCTCCAACAACTACTGCAGCAACAACAGCAGTAACATCTGCAACGACATCTACTCAAACAATAACAACAGCAGCAACAACACCTGCAACAACACCTGTTCCAACTAATGCAGCAGCGACAACAACATCTGCTCCGATAACAACAACAGTGGCAACAACAATGCCTGCTCCAACAACTACTGCATCAACAACATCAGCAACAACCACAACACCTGCTCTGACAACGACGAGAGTGGAAATAACAACACCTGCTCTAACAACTACTGCAGCAACAACGACAACAGCAACAACAACACCAGCTGCGACGTCATCTGCAACAACAACATCTGTTCTAACTACAACAACAGCAGGAACAACATCTGCTCAAACAACTACTGCTCCGACTACAACAACAGCAGCAACAACATCTTCAACATCAACATCTGCATCGACTACAACAACAGCAGCAACAACAACACCTGCTCCAACAACTATTGCAGCAACAACAGCAGTAACAACATCTGCTCTGACTGCAACAACACCACCTGCTCCAACAACTACTGCAGCAACAACAGCAGTAACATCTGCAACGACATCTACTCAAACAATAACAACAGCAGCAACAACACCTGCAACAACACCTGTTCCAACTAATGCAGCAGCGACAACAACATCTGCTCCGATAACAACAACAGTGGCAACAACAATGCCTGCTCCAACAACTACTGCATCAACAACATCAGCAACAACCACAACACCTGCTCTGACAACGACGAGAGTGGAAATAACAACACCTGCTCCAACAACTACTGCAGCAACAACGACAGCAGCAACAACATCTTCAACATCAACATCTGCACCGACTACAAAAACAGCAGCAACAACAACACCTGCTCCAACAACTACTGCAGCAACAACAGCAGTAACAACATCTACTCCGACTACAAAAACAGAAGCAACAACATCTGCAACATCTGCTCCAACAATAACAACAGCAACAACAACATCTGCAACAACACCTATTCCAACTAATGCAGCAGCGACAACAACATCTGCTCCGATAACAACAACAGTGGCAACAACAATGCCTGCTACAACAACTACTGCATCAACAACATCAGCAACAACCACAACACCTGCTCTGACAACGACGAGAGTGGAAATAACAACACCTGCTCTAACAACTACTGCAGCAACAACGACAACAGCAACAACAACACCAGCTGCGACGTCATCTGCAACAACAACATCTGTTCTAACTACAACAACAACAGGAACAACATCTGCAACAACATCTGTTCTAACTACAACAACAGCAGGAACAACATCTGCTCAAACAACTACTGCTCCGACTACAACAACAGCAGCAACAACATCTTCAACATCAACATCTGCACCGACTACAACAACAGCAGCAACAACAACACCTGCTCCAACAACTACTGCAGCAACAACAGCAGTAACAACATCTACTCCGACTACAACAACAGCAGCAACAACATCTGCAACATCTGCTCCAACAATAACAACAGCAGCAACAACACCTGTTCCAACTAATACTGCAGCAACAACAACATCTGCACCGATAACAACAACAGCAGCAACAACACCACCTCCTCCAACAACTACTGCAGCAACAACAGCAGTAACATCTGCAACAACATCTGCTCCAACAATAACAACAGCAGCAACAACATCTGCTCAAACAACTACTGCTCCGACTACAACAACAGCAGCCACAACATCTTCAACATCAACATCTGCACCAACTACAACAACAGCAGCAACAGCAACACCTGCTCCAACAACTACTGCAGCAACAACAGCAGTAACATCTGCAACAACATCTGCTAAAACAATAACAGCAGCAACAACACCTGCAACAACACCTATTCCAACTAATGCAGCAGCGACAACAACATCTGCTCCGATAACAACAACAGTGGCAACAACAATGCCTGCTACAACAAGTACTGCATCAACAACATCAGCAACAACCACAACACCTGCTCTGACAACGACGAGAGTGGAAATAACAACACCTGCTCTAACAACTACTGCAGCAACAACGACAACAGCAGGAACAACACCAGCTGCGACGTCATCTGCAACAACAACATCTGTTCTAACTACAATAACAGCAGGAACAACATCTGCAACAACATCTGCTCAAACAACTACTGCTCCGACTACAACAACAGCAGCAACAACATCTTCAACATCAACATCTGCATCGACTACAACAACAGCGGCAACAACATCTGCAACAACACCTGTTCCAACTAATACAGCAGCAACAACAACATCTGCTCTGATAACAACAACAGTGGCAACAACAACGCCTGCTCCAACAACTACTGCAGCAACAACAGCAGTAACAACATCTGCTCTGACTACAACAACAGCAGCAACAACACCTGTTCCAACTAATACAGCAGTGACAACAACATCTGCACCGATAACAACAACATCAGCAACAACACCACCTCCTCCAACAACTACTGCAGCAACAACAGCAGTAACATCTGCAACAACATCTGCTCAAACAATAACAACAGCAACAACACCTGCAACAACACCTATTCCAACTAATGCAGCAGCGACAACAACATCTGCTCCGATAACAACAACAGTGGCAACAATGCCTGCTCCAACAAGTACTGCATCAACAACATCAGCAACAACCACAACACCTGCTCTGACAACGACGAGAGTGGAAATAACAACACCTGCTCTAACAACTACTGCAGCAACAACGACAACAGCAACAACAACACCAGCTGCGACGTCATCTGCAACAACAACATCTGTTCTAACTACAACAACAGCAGGAACAACATCTTCAACATCAACATCTGCACCGACTACAACATCTGCTCCAACAATAACAACAGCAGCAACATCTGCAACAACACCTGTTCCAACTAATACAGCAGCGACGACAACATCTGCAACAACATCTGCTCAAACAACTACTGCTCAGACTACAACAACAGCAGCAACAACACCTGCAACAACACCTGTTCCAACTAATACAGCAGTGACAACAACATCTGCACCGATAACAACAACAGCAGCAACAACAGAAGCAACAACATCTGTTCTAACTACAACAACAACAGGAACAACATCTGCAACAACATCTGTTCTCACTATAACAACAGCAGCAACAACATCTTCAACATCTGCACCGATAACAACAACAGCAGCAACAACAACACCTACTCCAACAACTATTGCAGCAACAACAGCAGTAACAACACCTGCTCTGACTACAACAACAGCAGGCAACATCTGCAACAACATCTGCTCCAACAATAACAACAGCAGCAACAACATCTGAAACAACCACAACACCTGCTCTGACAACGACAGTGGCAACAACAACACTTGCTCAAACAACTACTGCAGCATCAACGACAACAGCAACAACACCAGCTGCGACATCATCTGCAACAACAACATCTGCTCAAACAACTACTGCTCCGACTACAACAACAGCAGCAACAACATCTTCAACATCAACATCTGCATCGACTACAACAACAGCAGCAACAACAACACCTGCTCCAACAACTATTGCAGCAACAACAGCAGTAACAACATCTGCTCTGACTGCAACAACACCACCTGCTCCAACAACTACTGCAGCAACAACAGCAGTAACATCTGCAACGACATCTACTCAAACAATAACAACAGCAGCAACAACACCTGCAACAACACCTGTTCCAACTAATGCAGCAGCGACAACAACATCTGCTCCGATAACAACAACAGTGGCAACAACAACGCCTGCTCCAACAACTACTGCATCAACAACAACAGTAACAACACTAGCTGCGATGTCATCTGCAACAACAACATCTGTTCTAACTACAACAACAGCAGGAACAACATCTGCAACAACATCTGCTCAAACAACTACTACTCCGACTACAACAACAGCAGCAACAACATCTTCAACATCAACATCTGCATCGACTACAACAACAGCAGCAACAACAACACCTGCTCCAACAACTATTGCAGCAACAACAGCAGTAACATCTGCAACAACATCTGCTCAAACAATAACAACAGCAGCAACAACACCTGCAACAACACCTGTTCCAACTAATGCAGAAGTGACAACAACATCTGCTCTGATAACAACAACAGTGGTAACAACAATGCCTGCTCCAACAAGTACTGCATCAACAACATCAGCAACAACCACACCTGTTCCAACTAATACAGCAGCGACAACAACATCTGCAACAACATCTGCTCAAACAACTACTGCTCAGACTACAACAACAGCAGAAACAACACCTGCTCCAATAACTACTGCATCATCAACAGCAGTAACAACATCCGCTCCAACAATAACAACAGCAGCAACAACATCTGCAACCACACCTGTTCCAACTAATACAGCAGCGACAACAACATCTGCAACAACACCTGTTCCAACTAATACAGCAGCGACAACAACATCTGCACCGATAACAACAACAGCAGCAACAACACCACCTCCTCCAACAACTACTGCAGCAACAACAGCAGTAACATCTGCAACAACATCTGCTCAAACAATAACAGCAGCAACAACACCTGCAACAACACCTATTCCAACTAATGCAGCAGCGACAACAACATCTGCTCTGATAACAACAACAGTGGCAACAACAATGCCTGCTCCAACAAGTACTGCATCAACAACATCAGCAACAACCACAACACCTGCTCTGACAACTACTGCAGCAACAACGACAACAGCAGGAACAACACCAGCTGCGACGTCATCTGCAACAACAACATCTGTTCTAACTACAATAACAGCAGGAACAACATCTGCAACAACATCTGCTCAAACAACTACTGCTCCGACTACAACAACAGCAGCAACAACATCTTCAACATCAACATCTGCATCGACTACAACAACAGCGGCAACAACATCTGCAACAACACCTGTTCCAACTAATACAGCAGCAACAACAACATCTGCTCCGATAACAACAACAGTGGCAACAACAACGCCTGCTCCAACAACTACTGCAGCAACAACTACTGCAGCAACAACAGCAGTAACAACATCTGCTCTGACTACAACAACAGCAGCAACAACACCTGTTCCAACTAATACAGCAGCGACAACAGCAGTAACAACATCTACTCCGACTACAACAACAGCAGCAACAACATCTGCAACATCTGCTCCAACAATAACAACACCAGCAACAACACCTGTTCCAACTAATACAGCAGCGACAACAACATCTGCACCGATAACAACAACAGCAGCAACAACACCACCTCCTCCAACAACTACTGCAGCAACAACAGCAGTAACATCTGCAACAACATCTGCTCCAACAATAACAACAGCAGTAACATCTGCTCAAACAACTACTGCTCCGACTACAACAACAGCAGCCACAACATCTTCAACATCAACATCTGCACCAACTACAACAACAGCAGCAACAGCAACACCTGCTCCAACAACTACTGCAGCAACAACAGCAGTAACATCTGCAAAAACATCTGCTCAAACAATAACAGCAGCAACAACACCTGCAACAACACCTATTCCAACTAATGCAGCAGCGACAACAACATCTGCTCCGATAACAACAGTGGTAACAACAACGCCCGCTCCAACAACTACTGCATCAACAACAGCAGTAACAACATCTGCTCTGACTACAACAACAGCAGCAACATCTGCAACAACATCTGCTCAAACAATAACAACAACAGCAACAACTGCAACAACAACTGTTCCAACTAATACAGCAGCGACGACAACATCTGCAACAACATCTGCTCAAACAACTACTGCTCAGACTACAACAACAGCAGAAACAACACCTGCTCCAATAACTACTGCATCATCAACAGCAGTAACAACATCCACTCCGACTACAACAACAGCAGCAACAACATCTGCAACAACACCTGTTCCAACTAATACAGCAGCGACAACAACATCTGCACCGATAACAACAACAGCAGCAACAACACCACCTCCTCCAACAACTACTGCAGCAACAACAGCAGTAACATCTGCAACAACATCTGCTCAAACAATAACAGCAGCAACAACACCTGCAACAACACCTATTCCAACTAATGCAGCAGCGACAACAACATCTGCTCTGATAACAACAACAGTGGCAACAACAATGCCTGCTCCAACAAGTACTGCATCAACAACATCAGCAACAACCACAACACCTGCTCTGACAACTACTGCAGCAACAACGACAACAGCAGGAACAACACCAGCTGCGACGTCATCTGCAACAACAACATCTGTTCTAACTACAATAACAGCAGGAACAACATCTGCAACAACATCTGCTCAAACAACTACTGCTCCGACTACAACAACAGCAGCAACAACATCTTCAACATCAACATCTGCATCGACTACAACAACAGCGGCAACAACATCTGCAACAACACCTGTTCCTACTAATACAGCAGCAACAACAACATCTGCTCCGATAACAACAACAGTGGCAACAACAACGCCTTCTCCAACAACTACTGCAGCAACAACAGCAGTAACAACATCTGCTCTGACTACAACAACAGCAGCAACAACACCTGTTCCAACTAATACAGCAGTGACAACAACATGTGCACCGATAACAACAACAGCAGCAACAACACCACCTCCTCCAACAACTACTGCAGCAACAACAGCAGTAACATCTGCAACAACATCTGCTCAAACAATAACAGCAGCAACAACACCTGCAACAACACCTATTCCAACTAATGCAGCAGCGACAACAACATCTGCTCCGATAACAACAACAGTGGCAACAATGCCTGCTCCAACAAGTACTGCATCAACAACATCAGCAACAACCACAACACCTGCTCTGACAACGACGAGAGTGGAAATAACAACACCTGCTCTAACAACTACTGCAGCAACAACGACAACAGCAACAACAACACCAGCTGCGACGTCATCTGCAACAACAACATCTGTTCTAACTACAACAACAGCAGGAACAACATCTTCAACATCAACATCTGCACCGACTACAACATCTGCTCCAACAATAACAACAGCAGCAACATCTGCAACAACACCTGTTCCACCTAATACAGCAGCGACAACAACATCTGCACCGATAACAACAACAGCAGCAACAACAGAAGCAACAACATCTGTTCCAACTAATACAGCAGTGACAACAACATCTGCACCGATAACAACAACAGCAGCAACAACAGAAGCAACAACATCTGTTCTAACTACAACAACAACAGGAACAACATCTGCAACAACATCTGTTCTCACTATAACAACAGCAGCAACAACATCTTCAACATCTGCACCGATAACAACAACAGCAGCAACAACAACACCTACTCCAACAACTATTGCAGCAACAACAGCAGTAACAACACCTGCTCTGACTACAACAACAGCAGCAACATCTGCAACAACATCTGCTCCAACAATAACAACAGCAGCAACAACATCTGAAACAACCACAACACCTGCTCTGACAACGACAGTGGCAACAACAACACTTGCTCAAACAACTACTGCAGCATCAACGACCACAGCAACAACAACACCAGCTGCAATGTCATCTGACACAACAACATCTGTACTAACTACAACAACAGCAGGAACAACATCTGCAACAACATCTGCTCCAACAACTACTGCATCAACAACATCAACAACAACCACAACACCTGCTCTGACAACGACGACAATGGCAACAACAACACCTGCTGTAACAACTACTGCAACAACAACGACAACAGCAACAACAACACCAGCTGCGACGTCATCTGCAACAACAACATCTGTTCTAACAACCTCTGCTCCGACTACAACAACAGAAGCAACATCTTCAACATCAACATCTGCATCGACTACAACAACAGCAGCAACAACACCTGCTCCAACAACTATTGCAGCAACAACAGCAGTAACAACATCTGCTCTGACTACAACAACAGCAGCAACATCTGCAACAACATCCGCTCCAACAATAACAACAGCAGCAACAACATCTGCAACCACACCTGTTCCAACTAATACAGCAGCGACAACAACATCTGCAACAACATCTGCTCAAACAACTACTGCTCAGACTACAACAACAGCAGAAACAACACCTGCTCCAATAACTACTGCATCATCAACAGCAGTAACAACATCCGCTCCAACAATAACAACAGCAGCAACAACATCTGCAACCACACCTGTTCCAACTAATACAGCAGCGACAACAACATCTGCAACAACACCTGTTCCAACTAATACAGCAGCGACAACAACATCTGCACCGATAACAACAACAGCAGCAACAACACCACCTCCTCCAACAACTACTGCAGCAACAACAGCAGTAACATCTGCAACAACATCTGCTCAAACAATAACAGCAGCAACAACACCTGCAACAACACCTATTCCAACTAATGCAGCAGCGACAACAACATCTGCTCCGATAACAACAACAGTGGCAACAACAATGCCTGCTCCAACAAGTACTGCATCAACAACATCAGCAACAACCACAACACCTGCTCTGACAACTACTGCAGCAACAACGACAACAGCAGGAACAACACCAGCTGCGACGTCATCTGCAACAACAACATCTGTTCTAACTACAATAACAGCAGGAACAACATCTGCAACAACATCTGCTCAAACAACTACTGCTCCGACTACAACAACAGCAGCAACAACATCTTCAACATCAACATCTGCATCGACTACAACAACAGCGGCAACAACATCTGCAACAACACCTGTTCCAACTAATACAGCAGCAACAACAACATCTGCTCCGATAACAACAACAGTGGCAACAACAACGCCTGCTCCAACAACTACTGCAGCAACAACAGCAGTAACAACATCTGCTCTGACTACAACAACAGCAGCAACAACACCTGTTCCAACTAATACAGCAGCGACAACAGCAGTAACAACATCTACTCCGACTACAACAACAGCAGCAACAACATCTGCAACATCTGCTCCAACAATAACAACACCAGCAACAACACCTGTTCCAACTAATACAGCAGCGACAACAACATCTGCACCGATAACAACAACAGCAGCAACAACACCACCTCCTCCAACAACTACTGCAGCAACAACAGCAGTAACATCTGCAACAACATCTGCTCCAACAATAACAACAGCAGTAACATCTGCTCAAACAACTACTGCTCCGACTACAACAACAGCAGCCACAACATCTTCAACATCAACATCTGCACCAACTACAACAACAGCAGCAACAGCAACACCTGCTCCAACAACTACTGCAGCAACAACAGCAGTAACATCTGCAAAAACATCTGCTCAAACAATAACAGCAGCAACAACACCTGCAACAACACCTATTCCAACTAATGCAGCAGTGACAACAACATCTGCTCCGATAACAACAACAGTGGCAACAACAATGCCTGCTACAACAAGTACTGCATCAACAACATCAGCAACAACCACAACACCTGCTCTGACAACGACAAGAGTGGAAATAACAACACCTGCTCTAACAACTACTGCAGCAATAACGACAACAGCAACAACAACACCAGCTGCAACGTCATCTGCAACAACAACATCTGTTCCAACTACAACAACAACAGGAACAACATCTGCAACAACATCTGTTCTAACTACAACAACAGCAGGAACAACATCTGCTCAAACAACTACTGCTCCGACTACAACAACAGCAGCAACAACATCTTCAACATCAACATCTGCACCGACTACAACAACAGCAGCAACAACAACACCTGCTCCAACAACTACTGCAGCAACAACAGCAGTAACAACATCTACTCCGACTACAACAACAGCAGCAACAACATCTGCAACATCTGCTCCAACAATAACAACAGCAGCAACAACATCTGCAACAACATCTGTTCCAACTAATACAGCAGCGACAACAACATCTGCTCCGATAACAACAACAGTGGTAACAACAACGCCCGCTCCAACAACTACTACATCAACAACAGCAGTAAAATCTGCTCTGACTACAACAACAGCAGCAACATCTGCAACAACATCTGCTCCAACAATAACAACAGCAGTAACAACACCTGTTCCAACTAATACAGCAGCGACGACAACATCTGCAACAACATCTGCTCAAACAACTACTGCTCAGACTACAACAACAGCAGCAACAACACCTGCTCCAATAACTACTGCATCATCAACAGCAGTAACAACATCTGCAACAACACCTGTTCCAACTAATACAGCAGCGACAACAACATCTGCACCGATAACAACAACAGCAGCAACAACACCACCTCCTCCAACAACTACTGCAGCAACAACATCTGCTCAAACAATAACAGCAGCAACAACACCTGCAACAACACCTATTCCAACTAATGCAGCAGAGACAACAACATCTGCTCCGATAACAACAACAGTGGCAACAACAATGCCTGCTCCAACAACTACTGCATCAACAACATCAGCAACAACCACAACACCTGCTCTGACAACGACGAGAGTGGAAATAACAACACCTGCTCTATCAACTACTGCAGCAACAACGACAACAGCAACAACACTAGCTGCGATGTCATCTGCAACAACAACATCTCTTCTAACTACAACAACAGCAGGAACAACATCTGCAACAACATCTGCTCAAACAACTACTACTCCGACTACAACAACAGCAGCAACAACATCTTCAACATCAACATCTGCATCGACTACAACAACAGCAGCAACAACAACACCTGCTCCAACAACTATTGCAGCAACATCTGCAACAACATCTGCTCCAACAATAACAACAGCAGCAACAACATCTGCAACCACACCTGTTCCAACTAATACAGCAGTGACAACAACATCTGCTACGACAACAATATCGGCAACAACAACACCTGCTCCAACAACGACATCTACAACAATACATGCTCCAACTACTACAGCGGCGACAACAACACATGCTTTGACAACAACAGTGGCAACAACACATGCTCCAACAACTACTGCATCAACAACATCAGCAACAATCGCAACACCTGCTCCAACAACAACGACAGTGGCAGCAACAACACCTGCTCCAACAACTACTGCAGCAACAACAGAAGCAACAACATCTGCTCCAACTACAACAGCAGCAACAACATCTGTAAGACCACCTGTTCCAACTAATACAGCAGCGACAACAACATCTGCAACAACATCTGTTCAAACAACTACTGCTCCAACTACAACAACAGCAGCAATATCTTCAACATCAACATCTGCGCCAACTACAACAATAGCAGCAACAACAACACCTGCTCCAACAACTACTGCAGCAACAACAGCAGTAACAACTACTGCTCCAACTACAACAGTAGCAGCCACAACATCTTCAACATCAACATCTGTGCCAACTACAACAATAGCAGCAACAACAACACCTGCTCCAACTACTACAGCAGCAATAACACTAGCTGCGACGTCATCTTCGACATCTTCTCCAATTCCAACAACAACAACAACAGGAACAACATCTGGAATAACAACATCTGCTCCCACTACAACAACAGCAGCACCAACAACAGCAACAACTTCTACAACAACAACACCTACTCCGACTACTACAGCAGCGACAACATCTATAACAACAACACCTGCTCCGACTACTACAGCAGCAACAACATCTACAACAACAACACCTGCTCCAAGTACAACAACAGAAGCAACATCTTCAACATCAACATCTGCATCGACTACAACAACAGCAGCAACAACAACACCTGCTCCAACAACTATTGCAGCAACAACAGCAGTAACAACATCTGCTCTGACTACAACAACAGCAGCAACATCTGCAACAACATCTGCTCCAACAATAACAACAGCAGCAACAACATCTGCAACCACACCTGTTCCAACTAATACAGCAGTGACAACAACATCTGCTACGACAACAATATCGGCAATAACAACACCTGCTCAAACAACTACAGCTCAGTCTACAACAATACATGCTCCAACTACTACAGCGGCGACTACAACACATGCTTTGACAACAACAGTGGCAACAACACATGCTCCAACAACTACTGCATCAACAACATCAGCAACAATCGCAACACCTGCTCCAACAACAACGACAGTGGCAGCAACAACACCTGCTCCAACAACTACTGCAGCAACAACAGAAGCAACAACATCTGCTCCAACTACAACAACAGCAGCAACAACATCTGTAACAACACCTGTTCCAACTAATACAGCAGCGACAACAACATCTGCAACAACATCTGTTCAAACAACTACTGCTCCAACTACAACAACAGCAGCAATATCTTCAACATCAACATCTGCGCCAACTACAACAATAGCAGCAACAACAACACCTGCTCCAACTACTACAGCAGCAATAACACTAGCTGCGACGTCATCTGCGACATCTTCTCCAATTCCAACAACAACAACAACAGGAACAACATCTGGAATAACAACATCTGCTCCCACTACAACAACAGCAGCACCAACAACAGCAACAACTTCTACAACAACAACACCTGCTCCGACTACTACAGCAGCAACAACATCTACAACAACAACACCTGCTCCAAGTACTACAGCAGCGACAACAACACCTACTCCGAATACTACTGCATCAACATCAGTGACAACACCTGCTCTGACCATACCATCTGCAACAACAACACCCTCTCCAAGTATAACAACAGTCGCACCAACAACCTCAACAACAATATCTGTTCCAACTACAACAACAGCAGCACCGGTAGCAACAAAAGCTGCGACAACAACTCCAGCTCCAACAATGACATCTACAACAACACCTGCTCCAACTACTACAGCAGCGACAACACCACCTGCTCTTACAACTACGACAGTGGCAACAACACCACCTGCTTCAACAACTACAGAATCGATAACAACACCAACTGCGACAACAACATCATCTGCAAAAACACCTGCTCCAACAACTACTGCATCAGCAACATCAGCAACAACTACTACAGCAGCGATGACAACAACACCTGCTCTGACAACAGTGACAACAACAACACCTGCTCCAACTACTTCAGCAGCGACAACAACATCTGCAACAACAACACCTGCTACAGCAGCGACAATACCACTTACTCCGACAACTACTGCATCAACATCAGTGACACCTGCTCCGACTACAACAACATCTACAACAACAACACCTGCTCCGATTACTACAGCAGCAACAACATCTACAATAACAACACCTGCTCCAACTACTACAGCAGCGACAACAACACCTACTCCGAATACTACTGCATCAGCATCAGTGACCACACCTGCTCTGACCATAACATCTGCAACAACAACACCCTCTCCAACTATAACAACAGTCGCACCAACAACCTCAACAATAACATCTGCTTCCACTACAACGACAGCAGCGACAACTACTGCAACAACCGTAGCCACAACATCTGTTCTGACTACAACAACAGCAGCAACATCTACAACAACAATATCTGTTCCAACTACAACAACACCAGCACCGGTAGCAACAAAAGCTGTGACAACAACACCAGCTCCAACAATAACATCTACAACAACACCTGCTCCAACTACTACAGCAGCGACAACACCACCTGTTCTTACAACAACGACAGTGGCAACAACACCACCTGCTTCAACAACTACAGAATCGATAACAACACCAACTGCGACAACAACGTCATCTGCAACAACATCTGTTCCAACTACAACAACAGCAGCAACAACATCTGCAACAACAACACCTGCTCCAACAACTACTGCATCAGCAACATCAGCAACAACTACTACAGCAGCGATGACAACAACACCTGCTCTGACAACAGTGGCAACAACACCTGCTCCAACTACTGCAGCAGCGACAACAACACCTACTCCGATAACTACTGCATCAACATCAGTGACAACACCTGCTCCAACTACTACACCAGCGACAACAACATCTGCAACAACAACACCTTCTCCAACTACAACAACAGTCACACCAACAACCTTAACAATAACATCTGCTTCAACTACAACCTCAACAATAACATCTGCTCTGACTACAACAACAGCAGCAACATCTACAACAACAATATCTGTTCCAACTACAACAACAGCAGCACTGGTTGCAACAAAAGCTGCGACAACAACTCCAGCTCCAACAATGACATCTACAACAACACCTGCTCCAACTACTACAGCAGCGACAACAACACCTGCAACAACAACACCTGCTCCGAGTACTACAGCAGCGACAACAACATCTGCAACAACAACACCTGCTCCGACTACTACAGCAGCGACAATACCACTTACTCCGACAACTACTGCATCAACATCAGTGACAAAACCTGCTCTGACCACAACATCTACAACATCTCCTTCTCCAACTACAACAACAGTCGCACCAACATCCTCAACAATAACATTTGCTTCGACTACAACAACAGCAGCAACAACAGCAGCGACACCAACACCCGCTCCAACAATGACATCTACAACAACACCTGCTTCAACTACTACAGCAGCGACAACAACAACACCTGCTCTTACAACGACGACAGTGGCAACAACACCAACTGCGACAACAACGTCATCTGCAACAACATCTGCTCTGACTACAACAGCAGCAACAACATCTGCAACAACACCTGCTCCAACAACTACTGCATCAGCAACATCAGCAACAACTACTACAGCAGTGACGACACCTGCTCCAACAACGACATCTACAATAACACCTGCTCCAACTACTACAACAGCGACAACAACACCTACTCTGACAACTACTGCATCAACATCAGTGACAACACCTGCTATGACCACAACATCTGCAACAACAACACCTGCTCCAACTACAACAACAGCAGCAACAATAACAACAACAGCAGCAACAACATCTGCAACAACAACATTTGCTACGACTACAACAACAGCAGCACCAACAGCAACAACAACACCTGCTCCAACGACGACATCTACAATACATGCTCCAACTACTACAGCAACGACAACAACACCTGCTCTGATAACAACAACAGTGGCAACATTAACACCTGCTCTAACTACAACAACAGTAGCAACAACAACATCAACAACAACATCTGCTTCAACTACACCAACAGCAGCAACATCTGCAACAACAACATCTGCTCCGACTACAACAGCAGTAACAACATCTGCAACAACAACATCTGCTCCAACTACTACAGCAACAACAACAACATCTGCTCTAACAACGACATCTACAACACATGCTCCAACTACTACAGCAACGACAACAACATCTTCTCCGACAACATCGACAGTGGCGACAATAACACCTGCTCAAACATCTACTGCATCAACATCAGCAACAACAGCTGCTCTGACTACAACAACAGCAGTAACATCTTCAACAACAACTTCTGCTGCGACTACAACAACAGCAGCACCAATAGCAACAACATCTGCTTCGACTACAACAACAGCAGCAACAACATCTGCTCCGACTACAACAACAGTAGCAACAACAACCTCAGCAGCAACCACATCTGCTCTGACTACAACAACGACAGTAACACTGACAACAAGAACATCTGCTCCGACTACAACAGCAGTACCAACAGCAACAGCAGCAGCGACAACAACACCTGCTCCTACAACAACAACAGCAACATCAACGACCGCAACAACAACACCTGCTCCAACAACGACTTTGGCCGCTCCACCTGTTTATAACATCTCAGCAGATTTGCAAGGAGAACCTTTTTCAGCTAACCTCACTAACCCCAACAGCAGTCAATATAAAGATCTTGAACAACGAGTTGTTATCACGGTAGGTCACTTTTCAAATTCAACACATTATTCAGTGACTGTGTCATTGTTCTCAATGAACGATTAGATATAATCTTTTAGCTGAAGTTGCACATTTGTTAAGATGGAAATTATTTTCAGTTAAATGTTCATTTCTGTTCAGTTTAACTTTAACAAAATTGTGCTCGAAAATTACTCCAGGGTTTCAATGTTGGTTTCTTTTTGCAGTGCAATATTATATACAAAGCAAGATATCATAATCTGTTTGACCGCTGCATTGTGACGGGCTTCAGGTAAAAACATTTTTCAGTGGTTCACTGACTTTGCTTTATATGCAGAATTATGGTTTTAAAGCACGTTTTTTTCAAATGTTGACAGTGTCATGTTTAAATCACCCATAACACACAACAACAGAATCATCTCATATCAGTATTTGACATTTACTTTTATGATACAGGATTGCCCAACCTCGAGCCGACGGAACTCAAGTGGAACTGCTAGTTGTGTTCAATTCAACAACTCCCTTGGCAGACCTCCCACAGAACAGTGCCGTTGCTCAAACCTTAGTAGAAGCTGTGAATAATACCAACAATAGCTTCAATGTGAGCATAAATCCCAACACAGTCCTCGCAGTAGGTAAGTAAACACAACAAATTGTTTTGCTCTAATCAGTATGTAAAACAAATACAAAATACCATGTGCTGCTCATGCTGTTTTTAAGTAAGTCATCAAAACATTATGCTGCTTAACAAGAAATGTAGGTATAGACGAGATTCATTAAGACTTTTACAATATTTAATGTTCTACAGATCAATCCGTCCATTCAACTGTGTGGTAGGATGATCTTTATTTTAGTCTACTATGTATTCAGCCACCATGCTTGTTATGTGAATAATATTTTTGACGTTAGCAACTTCAGATCTAGACTAGATGCTAAAAAGTCTGTAGTGCCAGCTTTTTCTGCGCCTTTTTTGATGGTCCTTTGTGAAATTGGCACCAAAGTCAGTTTGACAAACAAAGAAAAATGCATCATTTTGGTTTGAACATGAATACTTATTTACTTACTCTTTTAAAAATGTTTTACAGCGGGTCCACTTCCATCTATAACTACTTTGCCTGCAACTACTGCACCTGCAACCACTGCACCTAGAACTACCGCATCTACAACTTCCACATCTACAACCATTGCACCTACAACTACTGCATCTACAACTGTAGCACTCTTTACATCAAGGGTGACTTTCAGATCTGTTCAAAGCACCTTTACAAGTGACTTGAACAATCCATCATCTGCAGCTTTTATAGTTCGAGCTTCTATGATAAAGACACAGGTAAGACATAATCATAGAATAAAATCTTCTGGTACCACTACTGATCTATTTTATCAGAGAACTCAAGCAACCATTCATGTGTAGAAGCTTGTCAATCATTTATTTTCCTACCTGTGTTTGGCAGAGAGTTAAGGGGGGCCGGTTGTTGTTGTTCCTGCTGGCCCCAGGATTGTGTATTAGCCTTGGGACAGAGAGGGTGAAAAGCGAGATGGAGCTTGCTGTAGAGTCGGGTTTGTTTCTTCGGTGTAGGCTGCGGCTCACAGTAGCCTGCATTAATTAAGACATCGTAGCCCTTGGCACGGTGTTTTGATACCCAACCATGCTCGTGAATAAGAGTAACAAAATGGCTCCATAGTGCCCCCTAAAATATTTCAACGAATGAGCCCCCACAATTTGTTTGACCTAGACGTACGAAATATTAGTGGCACATGTATCATCACAAGACACACAAAAATGCCTTTTGGATCCATACTCTAAACCCAAAAGGAAGTCAGCCATTTTAAATTGAAAGTGAAATTTTAGACCATTTTAGTGAGGCAAATATAAAAGTGAAAAGTGTTTAAGTACAATTTGTTTTCTGTTTCTGCAGCTTGAACCTGTGTTCCAAAGGGCTTTCTCTTCCTCCTTCAACTCTTTAGACGTGGTGTCATTCAGGTAATTTCTTAAGTGTTACAATTTAAGAGGAGTGGCGTTAAGTCTAATATTTTAAAAATACTTTACGTTTCTCATTCTGCAGAAATGGCTCAATCATCAACGAAATGAACGTTCGCTTTGCAAGCACATTTGTTCCTAATAACACTCAGATTGCAAGTGTTTTGATCAGTGCTGCTTCAACCGTCACCGGCTTTGACATTGAAGGCAGCTCAATCAACGTGAATGGCACACGTAAGCTATATTGTGTGCTTCTTCCAAATTTAAAAAAACTCTCAAATTTATATATATATTTAACAGTTTATTAAACTAATGTGTTGTTTCATTTTCTCCTCATATACAGCATCAAGTGGAGTAAGCCACAAGATCAGTTTCATTACCGCATCCTGCCTGGTACTGTTGTCATGGATTCTGTCAAGCCAGCGATAGCATCAGTATTAATTTCTATTTGAACTGCCATCAGAACATGACTGCCATTACTGGTATGAAAAAGGACTTTGTCGACGGTAAAATCCAACGTTCATGATTGTCTTCGGTTTTGTAGATCATCACTAGAGTATAAGCTAAACAAGACTTTCTTTCTATATAGCACTGCAATATCACTAAATAATGTCACTATTTTACTATTTCCGTAAAAGGTAATGTCAGTTGCTTTTCTGAGCACTTTACTAAAAAAGGGACTTTGTTGTTGGTAAATGTCTAAGAAGATTTTTTTAACATGCAAATTGAAAAATCTGAATGCTAGATTTCAAACTGGACTGTTTGTGAAGTTACTCTTTATCAAGGTTTTTAATTTTACAAGCAAAGATTCTTAAATAAAGTTGTTCTTTAACATTTGCGTAAAATGATATAAACCTTTCTGTACTTTCCAAAAGTATGGATAATTCATGTTTAGGTTTCACTTGCTAACATAGCAGCATAACACAGCGTAGCAACATTACAGGGTCATGGTATACATGATATGTATGTCAAACCAATGCACTGTCAATTTTCTTATTTATACAGTGTATTTATACAATCATGCATGTTCTGTGAGGCTTCTTGTGGTTTCTACAATTTGTGCAATTTCTTTCAGAAACTTTACAATGATCAGAATACAAAATCTTTCAAGAGTTTAAATTGTCTTGTAAGTTTTGTAATTTTGGTGGTTAAAAAGAAAAGTTTATCAGGGTATGTTTATTGCCAGCAGCTTTAATAAAACACCAATGATGGTGTGATTTCATATCATTAAATTTCAGAAGAGTGTCTTACCAGCCAGTCTCAGCTTTTGTTGTGTCAGTGAAACAGGTTTGTTCAGAAAGAGAGAACTGGGAGCAGCGCATTTTTCCCTTTGGCAATGAGATTGACATTTTAAGGATTAGGTATAGCTGTCAGATAGGGGAGAGCGGGGTGATTTGAGCTTATGGGGAAGTTGAGCCACCCCTTGTTTCTCGACAACCACAGACAAAACAGGGGCAGAAGACAAGACAGTCCTGGGAGCAGATAGAGGGGGGGCCAGGGTCCATGGCAAAAAACAGACAACAAAACAGAGTCTGTTGAGTCCATTGAGAAAGGGGCAGGGCGAGTGGTCAGGGCAGAACTGACGGAGCCAGACGGGGAACTCTCACGATGGCGGCCTGAGAGCGGAGCAGGGGAACCAGAGGCTTCAGGAGGGCGGCCCGAAGGCAGACTCCAAACTAGCATGCAGGGGAGTTGAGTAGTCGAGGAAACCAGCGTCCCAGCCAGACAAATATTCCTGAAGCCAAGGCTCGACCACCACCATTCCCCGAGCCATGGAGCTGATGGCCTCCTTGTAACCCTGGTTACCAGCTTGTCGTGTGAAAAATTCAAGACTTGGGCCAGATAAGAAAGCTTGAACATTTTTATTATCAACAAAAACAGACACCAATTAGAATACAAAAGTTCCTCCGGGGATGGTGAGAGATCGGTGCAAAATAGAGTCCCATTCTGTTACCAGAACAGCGACCCGAGTTGACATGAAAACCATGTAACAACTGACAATCAACCTCTTCTGGACCTCCTTTTATAGCTCTGTTTCTAAGCATTATGTCATCTCTTGGCTCTCTTTCCTACTGCACCTGGGTCTGGGAAAGTCCCAGATTTTTGCGTGCCTCAGCCGCCACTACGACCACCGCTTTCCATCCTTTCAGCTTTTGGTGGATTTTTATCACTTTCATTTCACTATGATTGGGTGTCTCTCTTCTCTGTGTTTTCTAATCTTTCAACATTTGGTGGATTTTTATTTAACTCTTTTGAATTTACTGATGTCTGCACTGATGTCTGTGTCCTTTGCATGCCCTCTGCTGATCATACTATTTCAACTATAACCTGACTTTGTGGAATAAGCTAGTGTTGTGCTCTGTGCTAGACACAGGACATTCTTACTGTGATGGAATATATTAATGTATGTTTTGTAACACAATTTGCACAAAGTCTGCTTCTACATTTTCCTTTGCTGGTATTTTCAGTGCTGTGTGTCCGCCTCTACCTCTGCCAAAGCTCACATGCTTGCTTACACACACACACGTGTGCTACTGCTGAGCCTGGGCAGTTAGATACAGAAAGGAGCACATACACTCAGAGCAATAGAGTTTTAATACTGTGATCCTAACTTTACACTATAAAATAACACTTTAAATGATGAGAATGTAGTCCACCATCACTCTAATAATTAATGATAACAATTTAGGCTATAATGCTCTAAAATTATACACAACAAGCTCCTTTCCACATAGCCAAGAGTTCAAAAAAGTCCGTAAACATGTCCATGAATTTAGCCTCCTGCCTGGCCTCAAGGGGGTTTCTGCCCTCGCTCCCAGACCCAGCAACAAGATGTCACCTTTCTCCACGGACGACTTTGACAAGCTTCTACAGAAAATTACAGCGCCAGAAACTAACATCCACAGGTTAGAAGTAAATGTGGAAATGAATGAACTATGTGGGAATGAAACTGCTTTACCATGGACCCAAAACAGTGGACAAGAGCATGCTAACACACGGCTAATTAGCACCAACAAGACTACCAAGAAGTAGGAGGCCTGTGTACTAGGTAATAAATCTAAAAGTGGTAGTCCATCCTGGAACTCGCTTGGTGCAAAGCCTAAGAGTAAATCATTTCCTTGGGAAATGGGAGGACGAGTAACAGCTCCTAGTGCCCCAACATTTGTGATGCGACTGGCTGGCCTGCATTATCATCCAGGCAGAGTGCCTCTTCAACTCCTGTTCTTAGTAGGACACAGCCATGGACAGGTGTGAAAAGGAGAGTTAGCAACAGACCTCCCCAACAACCGAGTGTGCAACAGGAGAACAGA